TTACCTGTGATATAGCTGAGAATTCTTTACCCGGACTAAAGTGGTTATTACAATAACCCAGGTACAGGTAGAATAGGAGAGTCAGTGAAACAGGAAGAGCAACTGCCAGCCTCTCACACGTCGTCTCGTGTAATAGTGATTAAGTGAAATACAGTCATGTGTAACACTGTAACACTGTGACACTGTCACACAACCTGTGCGAGTGTGAGGTACCAGCTGGTACCGCGGTAGTTGTTATAGCAACAGTGATGCGTTGTCATGGTAACAACAGTTCTAACGTCATCACGCTCGGAGTGACAATAGTTCACACTTTGCTCAGAAGGTGAAAATTCTTTAATCGAAGGTAAGTTTTGAGGAGTGTGAGTGTTGGTATGTACAATATGATGCAGCATAATACAGTGACACAACACATGGCCTTTATACGTTCAGTGCCCCCATCCAAACCAGACAGAAGCCCACTTCGCCGGCTTCTACTTTTAAAACACTACTGCTGCTGGCAAATCTGGCAATTTTAGTTTTGTAGCTGTCAGAAGACACATGCAGCACCTACTATCTTAGTGTGATTGGTGCGGGCTTCAGGCCTTGTTAGGGGGTCACTGGTAGGCCGGCCGCACAGCCACATCTTGCGGGAGAGAGAGGGATATAATAGCTGTATACACTAGAGGAACCCCTGCAGTTTCAAAGTTGAAGTTGACGTGTTGTAGCGGTGGAGATAAGAGCAGTGCCCTGACAGCTCCATGTCACTCTGAACGGGGAGCATGTGCTGTGCAGCAGTCAGGTCCTCTCACAAGTGCGGCTACTGGGGCGTGTTTCTTATCTTTATCTTCTTCCGATCATTAGAGCCACGGTGACACTCGACCCGACTTGTGGGCGATTAAAATCGTTGTGCTGATAAGAAGCAACCTCATCAGCTCACTTTGTGACCCCCGATCATTACATAAATACTGGGTAGTAGTTGGTAACGTTAGTTGTACTTTGTAGTTGGCAACCTTAGTTGGTAACCCAAAGGTATTTGTTAGCTGTTCAGTTTTGCATGGTGAGCTGTCAAGGGCTGGTAAGTGAAGTGCTCGCCCGATATGGTCCGCTAGGCCTCTGCACTCCTCTAACTTTTCACTACTTGTATTGCCTCTCTCTCTCGTTATTAATACGTCTACTCCTTTTCCAGCTTCCGCTCCCGACGCTCACTACATTAGGTTTACTCTGGTTGTAATGTTGCTGCTCCCCAAGCTCTGACCACGTGACGTGACGTTAGTCCCACGTGGCTCGTGAATTTTCTCCGTTATTGGTTTTACTGCGACTGTTGTTATGTTTGTGATCATGAGTTTGACAGATGGAGGTCAACACATACTTGACGTGTTGTGTTCGACTCATCATCACTTGCCAAGCTACTTCTTCAACACCTTTTTGATACCGTTACTTTTCAAATTGTCATTTAAAACCCGTCGTTACAGGTCGTATCGGATAGCAGGAATGATAATGGGGCTTAGGTTCAACTGACGATGTTTTTAGAAACTGACAGGAATTAATCTCGGTATTAAGATGACGTACGGATGAAAATAAAATATGTACATGTAACACGTGGGACATATGTCTTCATAACACCACCCTGAATTCCTGCACCACCTTGCTTTCCTCAGAAATCTGCACCACCTTGCTTTTCTTTGAATTCTTGCACCACCTCGCTTTTTCAATTCCCTGAATTCCAGCACCACCTTGCTTTTTCAATTCTCTTGAATTCCTGCACCACCTTGCTTTTTCATTTCTCCTGAATTGCTGCACCACATTGCTTTTTCAATTCTCCTGCGTTCCTGCACCACCTTGCTTCCCTCTGGGTTCCTGTACCACCCTGCTTTTTGACCCCTTGAATGCCCTTTCTCGATAATTTCCACATAATGGCATCGCGGTGCGATCTTCTCCGTCATATTGTCACTCATATTTGCTCCTTGAATTGAGCTCCTTTATTTTATGATTCATTAATATCCCTGCAAACCCAGTCCCTGAGGTTCTTTCATTATCCTTTACCTTCAGTTATCGGTCTGTGCTCAATGAATAGTGGAATAGTGTAGATTTGTAAATAGTGCTCGGTTATTAGTTGTTAAACGTGGCCTTGCTTAGAGCAGGAGTTTTTAGTTAGTGTAGGTGTCTTGCTACGGCTGCCCATTTCCCTCGCATCTCAGTTACCGCAACATCCATCACCTTTTCATGTGAATTGTCGTCAAGTTTCACCGGTAGTTTCCAGCCTGTGCCAGGTTGCAGATCATTAACCCTAATACTCCCTGGTCTACCAGTTCCCACTTCCCACCCTTAGTTCCCATTGCAAGTTCCCACTGCAAGTTCCCAGCCCAGCTCCGTGATCTAGCAGTTGAGAGTTCCCAGAGTCCGGTGCCACATCTGTCTCTGAAAATGCGGGCTGAGTCCGGTCATTACACGGCTCACATTCCTACTATTCGGAGAGACAGCTGATTTAAAAGCTGTTGTGTCATGAGCTCCATGACTGACGTGTTCTGTAGTTTGCATTTGCCCTTTTACCCTTGCTCCCTCGTTTGTTGGCCACTTCGGAAGTATGTCAAGTTTTGGTTTCGTCCAATCCCCTCCTATTCGTATCCTTAGAGAGATCCTCGGAGAGAACGGGAGAATTTCGGTAAATCTTAAAATGGAGTGACATTTGATAGCTGAAGCTTGACAAGTACACTTGTACACTCTCCCAGTACGCTTAATGTGTGCGTGTTTGTGCGTGTGTGCGTGTGTACGTGTGTGTTTCAGTGCCCATCTCAGTCGCCTATTTCTACAGACGGTTATAAAGTTTGCTTCATCGCCGTTTCGAGTGCCAGGAATTGCAGCTGCTAAGTTTGACAGCGTGTGTACTGCACTCTATCCCGCAGAGTTAAACTTTGGTTTGAATTGTTGTTTATGGGTTCTTGTTACTTGTGTCCTGCTGAGTATGTAGTACATCATAATACTACACTTTTACATATTACTAGTCACTACGCTCAATACGACACTTTTACATATTACTAGTCACTACGCTCAATACGACACTTTTACATATTACTAGTCACTACGCTCAATACGACACTTTTACTTTATTATTATGAGAACCACGCACAATACCTCACTTTCACTTTACTTCACATTGGACGTATCTTATCAATATCTGACTACTGACTAGCCCATTTTTATGTAATGCTACAGAACTTCGGTGTAATGTTGTTTTGCTGATTTCACCCTGGTTACCATAACAACGCCCCGGTTTCCATAACAACAATCATTTTGTCATGACAGCAATATTTTTCCACAATCACACTTTGTTTTTGTCATCATAATATCAATTTACAAATTTACAATAGAAATTTACAATAGAAAACTCATAAAAAAACTGTTATTACGACAGCACGTCAGTGACGAAATTGCCGTGACGAAATTCAACTTATCACAGAAAATGTGGAGTAACCAATGCAATAACTGTAACAGTAACTATCGTGCGGGCCCTTGTAGGTCTATACAATCAGGCCTTTTAACTATTTGACTTCTACTTGCACTCAGGAACACACCTTGAATCACGAAACTAAGTTATTGCGCCATTAGATTTAATGCATCGAGGATAGCAGTCATCATAAGGTTTTTAATGACGTCTGCAGTGACGACATTAAAATGGTTTACATCTAAAAGTGCTTAAAAGCTTGCATTACCATCTGTTGTGAACTAACGCATCTCATTTCTTCTCCCGTCAACTCCGACAGTTTTGTTCAATATTTTGTTCTTCAAGGGTATACTAACTTATGCAAACTTATGTGGGGCAACTTTTTGGCCCCCAGCCATTTTACCCACTCTCATAACTTTCAATAGTTAAACTAGGGGTTCGTGGTAAAGGTTAAGAGTTTCTAGTCAAGTTTACTTTAACAGTCGATATAAAACATCGGAAATGTCGAGGTCACAAAGTCATGGTCCAAGTGTCAACAGAGTTTGTTTTCCTTTGTCCGAGTATAATTGAGTGGCGGATCTAACAGTTGATTTGTTTTGGTGCATTACACACCACATGACTGCAAGTTCTCAAATAACCCGGAGTAGGAGGACGTCATTTGTTGTTTAGTACTGGGCTCCCTTATCAGCACGGGGTAACCGTGGTAACATTGTGGCGTTGTTATCAGTACATTAAATGGAGTAGTACATTAACTAGTTAACAGTGTCCCAGTACTCCCTTGAGAAACCCCAGAGCTCCAGGTTTGTCGTGAGAACGATCCTCCTGCCCTCCTGCCCCTTCCTTATCAGTCCTGACCGCTGTAATTCACAGCGTAGACAATGAAAAATTAAACTTACAATCGTCTAAGGAAGATTAATTACTATCCTTTATGGAACTGTTCGTCAGGACCCCTCTCTCTCTCTCCCCCCGAACCCAAGACTTGAGGAGCCGGGAGGAATGCTGACCTGACCAGGGACCACGATAAGGGTGCTCCCTCCACATATTACAACATTCACTTCTCAGCCAAACTGCCTCCCCTCACCTCCATGTCATCGGTTTAAGCATTAGCAATCCTATTAAATTAGCAATCTTATTAAACTTGTTAGAGGCCTGTCTGGACAATGGTCTCCGTCATATCTTATATAAAGACAACACATTCTCCGTGAAAATGACGGGTTTTGTGTGGATGAAACAGGAAATTAAGGTCTTGTTGAGTGTAAACACGTACCGTCAATAAATATCAGACCATATGGGATGAGGGAGGTAGAAAAAAGGGCCAGATAATTCTAGAAATATTTATTTATAAAGCAGAACCACTATCAGTTAGCTCTTTAAAAATGTCGACTTTATTAGTTATTGGTTTTAAAGCACTTAATCATTTCCTAAAAGCCTTTCAATAAATTAACACTTTTAACGAAACTTTTATTAACGAAAAAATACACTTTTATACTGTTTTACAATTGATATACAAATTATGCTTAGAATTTTAGCTCTTTGAGTTTATGAAACAAACTCTGACAATGTAATGCCAAAGGCACCCTTTTAGGACTCGGTCCTAACGATGTCATTCCCTTTAGAAAGAGCACTAGTTTTGCTGGATGTCCATGGTAGCCCTACTCAACGCTTCAATGGAGGCTTATGATCCCAGCAGGTTATCTACACGTGCCAACGCCTTCTCAGTCGAGTCCCTCGTTAATAGCGAGGAGTTCAACGGCTACACCACGCAACCAGCAGCTTTCGAAACATGTGAGTAGTCCCCGCAGACACTGCAGCTAGCAGGCGTCCTTTTGTGAAAATATGCACTAGCAGGCGTTCTTTGTGAATGTATGTGCTAACAGGCGATCTGTGGCGGATGTATCTGTTAACAGGCGTTATGTGGTGAATTTATCCGCTAGCAGTAACAGGCGTTAACCTGTAAATGCCGTTGAAACGATCTACATTCGACTGGTCAGAGCGTCAATCAGCTGATTTTAACGTCTGGCCCTGAAGTTCCAAAACCCAAGTCTAGACCAGCTCTCGATGACATTAATTGATAGACAAGTTTTTTACGATATAAAGAGTTACGTATAATTTTACAGAAATAAGTATAATTCTACAGAAATCTTTTCAATCACATGATGAAACGTGCAACACGTAAAATAATCTAGCCTAGTAGTTAATCACATGATGGAGATGTAAGAGAGCTAACAGTAGGATTTGTTCAGGTGCGGGCCCGGGGACCCCACGACAGTACCAGGAATATTACTCCCCAGAACAGACCCCCGACCAGCAGCAGCAACAACAACAACAACCCAGCAACCCGACCACAGAGATAAAGCAGGAACTTCCAACTCATCCTCTCCTCGCTAACGTATCCATCCACCTCGACGCTAAGGACCTCTGGGACCAGTTCCACATCATTGGGACGGAAATGATCGTGACTAAAGCGGGAAGGTATGTTTATTGAGGCAATGTTTCAGATAAGTTCGATTTTCTAACCACATCTTATCATCCTGCATTTTGTCATTGTGGTAATATTATTCATTTAGGTATAGTCCATTTCACCACAGTCTTGATCCCAGAGATGATAAAAGATGATCTCTCTTCATCACCCATAAAATTTTGCGTCCCATCCAGCGCTACAAAAATTAATGTGGATGCGGGAGCTGGGTTACCCCAGTAATCTGTACTGTCTCGATGGATCTATCCTGGAAAGTCTGGTTATTAAAGAAGAAGGGACTGATTTAGAACTCAGGGTACGAGTGTTCTGGCAGTCATCGCACTTTTCAGTCATGACATGTGTGCCGGCTCTCTCTAGGATACATGAGATGCGAGGATAATTTGATTCTGGCTACAGCAAATCAAGATAATTTACAGTAAGCATTGTTTAAGGAGCTCGGAGAGACACTGAATTACGTTTAATTACTTTATCTAAGCGAATACCTAAGTCCTCGTGCTATTTTTAGCGGACGAGTGCGCGGTTCCCGGACCACCTTGTTCGGGAGAGAGCGCTGGGCTCTATAATTTGAGGAGCTGGTGAGTCCACCTCCCATCCCTCTCTAACTCTCCTGCCACTCAGATCTAATTGTCAGGAGGTCTGTTCTGTCACCTGCCGAGCCGTTCCGGCCCACGCGGATCCCGGGATTTTTCATTCGGTTTTGTTTTACTCAATTAAGTAGATTTATGGAGTAAACAGGCTGGGAGACAGAGTGTTGACGGAACGGACCCGCTGACAGGTATTATTTTTCCACTAATGCACTCTACCATGTGCAGAGAGGACACGTGACACGGTCTCTGAGTCACGTGACCCAGACCGAGCACTGCGTCAGATCCTGGACCAGGGATCATGCTCACTTTCTCCTTGGATCCTACGCATCTCGGCACGAGTCGAGCAGATGGGGGTGGAGAGCGCTGAACGTCCTCAGGCCGGCTACCGAGCTTGTAGAGCTTCCCTGCAATCTTCATGAGATCCTGATAAGGGAGCGGAGGTCGTAGTGGTGAGAGACAGGCCGCTGAAAGCACCAGCTACCACCCAACCTAGCGCTCAAAATATATTCAAATATGCGTTTAGAAAACGGCAGCACAAAAAACAGAAACGCGAGCTGGTACTGTGTAGAGCAGAGCATCGGGAGAAAGTGAGAAAGTGAGAGAGAGAGGTGGGAACGAAGTGAGCAGTCTGTCTTATCTCCTATCTGTTATATCGCACTTTTCTGCATGGCCGTTAACACCCAGCCAGGTGGCACACTCCCGATAACAACACTCTGTACTCTACCTCCAGGCGTGAATTTGCATAAAATTATCACCGCCAGCCCATGAAGCCTGGCCACCCTGACTCACACTTTACACCTTTTACTTTAAACCTGGTCTGAGTAGGTGAGAGCAGTTAATTGCACTGTGTTCCTTAACCCTCATTAGCAGACTGTATACTCTCTCTGTTAACACAGTAAGGTACCCCCTCGTTAACGTCATGGCAACCCTGATTTATACATATTATTACATTTTATCTGATAACTTTCTGTTAGATGGAGGTATGTGTTAGCCATCGATAGTTTCTGACTGTAGCCGTGCTGTGAAAAGTGATTACGAAACAAGGAGAGAAGAAGGAGTGGATCTGGTTGAGGGAGAGGGGAACTGACTGGTGTTTCAAAAAATGTTTTCCGGAATAAAATCCACTAAAAAGCCTAACAAATGATCATCTTTTAAGAATAAATAAGTTTTAGAAATATGGAAGCTCCTCAATAGTTCTATTGAAATGCTTCAAAATATACCCAAATAGCTGAAACGAATGAAAGATGTCCTAGGACAACAGTATTTCGCAAAAAAACTAATTACCTCGCCGTCAAACCCACGCTTCAAAAACTTAATAGTTTTCACTTTAAAGGGAAAATAAACCCTGCCTCACATATTTTTTGATGGTATTTTATCCAAATTCCTGAGTTGTACCACGACAAAAACACTGCAGCACGTGTTTCTTGTCCGAACTAAGGATTCGTCGTAATACGAGTTCATAGTAACGGGAACTTTGTTTCAGGAGAATGTTCCCTACGATAAAAGTATCCGTGTTTGGATTGGACCCTCACACCAAATATCATATGCTAATGGATATAGCTCCTCTAGATGACAAGCGTTACAAATACGCTTATCACAGGTATGTCCTACTAAATACTAATAACTATTGATATTATATATAAAGTAATAAGGATAAGTTCATTAAAAACTGTTTTTTATTTTAATATCCCCAAAACGGGAAATAATCCAACAGCAACTTTCATAATAACCAAAATTTTGTTGCATGAACAAGTAACTTTAGTCCTAATTGACAAAGTAATGAATAATGCATGACTCTATTTTTCACGACAGACTAGCATATCATAGACTCTCGAACGAGCGCTACCTACGGTAGGTCTTGTGCAGGCAACAATTATTTATAAAGGAGTAGCCAGCTGCTGTTTATATACGGTCTTCGCTGTAGTTCGTTCCATAACTGCTGAATAAAGATGTTTATATGGTTGTCGCTGAAACAGATTTTATATCGGGTAATTGCTGAGACACATTTTTTGTCAGGTAACCATAGTAACTGGATTGTAACCATGAAATAGGCTTTTCATTTTTCTTCATTTTCCACATTCTTAGAATTAACAAAATTACTAAGATAGGGGTTCTTTAGTACTGTTAGAATTGAGTCAGTCGATAAATTGACCCTCTGATTGCTAAATTTAACGAGGTCAGGAATTTGATTACGTTGGCTCATAAAAACTTGATATCAAAGTATTTGATCATCGTATCAAATTGTCAATAAAGTGATGATAATTGAATTATATTAATAAGAATCTCAAAATTGGATTACTGGTTTGACGCAATTTGTAATACATGCAACATTCAGAGAATTCTTATCGACAACTAGATTAACAAATTTCATTATTATGTAAGTTATTCGCCGTCCAGGTTTTAAAAGACCGTAAAATGTTTGTAGAAAGTAATAAAGTGAGGGACGGAGATTTAAACGGGGTGCCAAGCCGTAAACCACTGCTCCCTTTTGCTCTGCGTGCGGGTTGTTGACAGCGGGAACTGAGCGAGCTGACAGAGTGTCGTATTGTCACGGTAACTGACCAGTTCCGTATCCCCAGATACAACCAAACTCTTATCACGTAGTTCCAGAGCTGTTTTAAAGTTAAGTTTAAACTCACCCTCGCCTGTTTTAAGTCATTTGACCTGGAGAAATTGAAAAGAAACATGGACGGATAGTAACCTTGTTGACAGCTTTGTAGAGAATGACTCGACCTATGAATCGAGGTATGAAAATATTTAAGCCGGACTTTTAAGTGTTAAAGTTTTTAAGCCGGTTTCCTGAACTCGTACAAGGGACCCTGGCAGACATTTTCCCAGTATTTAGATAACATTGACTGAGCGGAATACACCAGGCTCGATGCAGAACCCATAAGAGCGAGAGGTGAAGGCACTGGAGAGTCCTGTTACCGACGCTATGATACCCTACAAAGCTGCCAGGCCAGGATTCGCTTGAGCTCCCTTACGTCTGGCCACTGCTTTTAAACTCCCTTCAGAAACCTGTCTCCCCGCGCTCTCATTCCTCATGTTTTAAGTTCTCTGTTTCCCATTGCCCTTCTAGCTACTCTGGAGAAGCAGTACAAGTTACACCAAACCTTTGCCTCTCGTACTTGTAAAATTAGGCGCTCAGCTACTTTTCTTATTCTCGGTCTGAACACTGCACTAAGTAATAAATGCTAAAATGGGAACTCTAATTTGTATCATCAGGTCCATGAACAAAGCACTGGTGTGTTATAGCATGATTACAAAGCTTGTTAAGTAAAAGATGCTCTTTTGAAGAAAGTTTTGATCTAACTTCCACACTTCCTCTGATAAACAAGTTCTTTGTGGTTCCGCCCTTGTCAATGCAGAGTCTTACAAGTGAAGCTTCCAACTTTGGATCAGATCATCTAGAACTGGAAACTTTCCGGTAATCGAATGTTCAAAAGTTAATGACCGTATGTTTTTAGAAGCAGATTTCCGATATTCCTTTTCAAACAGCAGACATCCAACTTATATCCAACACCTGTAGGTGGGCGTCAAATAACAATAAAAATGTTTGATTTCTAAGGATTGTCCGTACCGATTCCATTCTTCAAGTCCATGAAGCCTGGAGAAAGTGTACTGGATAAAGAAAGTCTAGTAACCATGAACTGCCACATAATTGGGTTATACTGTTACTGACTTGCTCAGAACCACTCAGCCATGTCAAGCAACTTCAGTACCAATTCGATAGTATTAATACTAGTATCCGTTCCAATTATTAATGCATATATAATCCGGAGGAGGGTGGCCGCGGTTCCCTTTTGAGCTGGTGGCATCAACCAGGAAGCTCTTCTAACGAAATTATCCAAATCCTCACCTCATCCAATAGAGGTGACAGAGTGTAATTCATAGAATTGTTATCCGAAAATCGGAAAATGCTTGTGTAGTGTCAACGTCTTTCAGTCAAAACTCCTTTTAATGCAATCAGCTTAATTAGTGTGTAATAGCCGGAGTGCCAAGTGAAATGTAATCAGCCAAAAATCCGAAATCGAATCAACGATTAGAATTGGTGGCCAGATTGATTATCATTATTAAAAAAGCATCAACATTTTAAAGTTCTGTTTAGCGAATTTTTCACACATTCTGATAGGAAGCTTGGTGTTAGGTTGGTGGTCAGAAGTGGAGCTATAACAGCAATACTGGAGATGTAGCACGTTTGATTTTAACTTTAGGCTGCCCAATAGATATGCTTAACGGAATTAGGAGTCTGGCACATCTTGCTGAAAGATAACACAGGTCTTGTTCTATGTCCTCTTTGGATGAAGTACAAAGCTTCACATTTGCTTTTCCACGCTGCTCGCTGCTTTAAACTACACTATTTTTCAAATTAGACTTAATTTCTTTGGTAAAAACTGTGAAGCTACGAAAGTTCAAAGCTGTTCTCACATCTTCCGAACTTAGAAACCCTAAACCTGTTCGTCCTACCACCGATCTGCTGTCTATACTCGAGCTTAAACTTACCAAGAAAAGTAGTGGCGTTTTAAAAGCTCCTGGAGATTTAGTAAGGCTGCCTCTGTCGATCTAGCTGAATACTGCTACAAGTCTGACCAACAGTCAGTCCACTAAACCTTGACACCAAATCTCTAGCACATTCTGTGACATTCCGATTGCGTAAGACTGTCTCAAATAATTAGAATTGCTTTAAAACTATCGTGGATAATTTCAACTGCTGTGAAATGAGAAGCTATAGATTTGACTATTTTCAGTTCGAGATGGACAGTGGCAGGGAAGGGAGATCCCCCGGTACCAGGGAGAAACTACGTTCACCCGGACTCCCCTGCTTCCGGAGCTCACTGGATGAAGCAGACTGTTAGCTTCGACAAGGTCAAACTAACCAACAACGACATGGATAAAAACGGACATGTGAGTCACCCTTTTGTGAGTCAACCCGATTCACAGTTTTGATTTTGAGTTATTGCGATAATTTTTGAACTGCTTTTCACCTTTATAAAACTAAAAGTCTCATTCCGATCTATATCTATAAAAAAATCTATAAACGAAGTATGGTCTATGTTTAACTAACCTTTATCAATCACAGATAGTCCTAAACTCGATGCACCGCTACCAACCCCGCATTCACATCATGGTAGCCCAAGGACAACACAAACCCACATCTATCAACGACGGGCCCGTGAAGACGTTTGTGTTTGAGGAGACTCAGTTTACAGCAGTGACAGCTTATCAGAACCAGCAGATAACTAGACTCAAGATCGAGAGCAATCCTTTCGCTAAGGGATTCAGGGACGCTCGAATGCAGCATAGGTGAGTGTTGAAGGAGTAAAGAGATAGCTTTATTAAAGAATAAGCATAATTAGTATTAGTGATTACGTTCAAATTGTTATAGCGAATATAAAGTTTAATATAAAACCACCTTAATGTTGGAGTGGGAATTGGAATAGATTTGTTCAACGCATGAAGCAATTTAGCCAACAAATTTGCCATATTGGTACTGAAGGATTTGAGCCTAGATCTTTCACAGGAGCATGCTGATGTGGGAGAGCGCAGACCTTTCGGATTGTGCACCCACCCTTGCTACCTGGCCTCTTATTAAGTTCGTACATTAAGTTTTAAGTAATTGATAACACCATTTTTGGCATTCCAATTCCCACTGTGTACAAAATTAGCCACTAAAAAGGAATAATAATCTGATTAAACCTTTTCTTTAGACAATCTTTAAAATACAAAAAACTCATTGTTTGGATTTTTTCTTGTATTGCATGTTGCTGTAATATAGGTATTATCTTATTATCTAGAAACTACTATCACTGTATGAAGAGGGACCATGCGATCGTGCGGGTGCTGCATTCAGTGGTCCTGAGCCAATATCTGGATATGTAATTTACTGTATAAACGTGAACCTAGTTTTGAATACAACGTTTCGGAAACGTCTGCAACACTCGAGATGCTAAAAAAACGTCGGTTGTTAAGTCTAGACTATAGACTCTAGACTATAGTATTAGTTATGGTGTAGAAGTCTTGGTGCAAGTAAGGCCTTTGTTCATTACTCCAGCTCCTCTAGTAAGCTCATGTATACCCAATGGGCTGGTGCACTATGCACATGTTGGAGAGGACTTTAAGTCCTTAACACACGATTGGGAACCCTAAAAAAGGAAGTGTAAAGTCCCTGTCAGGTATTACAAGGTGGCTGAGAGCGTGTCTATTAGATCAGCACAAGGTACTGGGTGTAATTAGTTGAGAAGACATAGTTTAACTGAGTTCGTCTGCTGCTACCCTTCTCTCAAACGTGCGGCCCCTACCCCCACAAAAGAAAGACATTTTCCTTCCCCGCCAGCACCGCCATCTCCTTTGAGAAATTAGGTGCGACTATTGCTTGCGTTGTTGCAGCATATTCGCTACAATAGGGCTCCTCGACACCTTTACACTGTTCAACGGTAAACACCCAATTGAGAAGACACCGGAATAGGGTTCAAATTCTAAAGCGTTAATCCGTGAAGCTAAACCTGCTGTCTCCAGCTCAACAAACCTTAAGCCTTGTCTGTAGGGGAGAAAAGTAAATAATTACAAGTAACTTAAAATAATAAGAGAAAGATATATCCATTATGTTTGATAAATATACTGTTAGCAGGAACTCGAATCCAGTTCTGTGCAGAGAGGAAATGAACCTGCTCCTACAGTCGTACGGTGAGAATCAGGCCTGTTCCAGAGTCACTACTAATCCTTACTCCCACGCTCTCACTTCAACTAGTAAGTTTTGCTTTCCTCCCTCCAAACTGTCTTAATATGTTTAGAAACTTATCGTCTGAAATCGAACCATTTTAATCTTTCACTAAAACTTGATTAGGCTTTACCCGCTGAATTACTTCCGTTCTTATCCTTACATTAAAATTTAGTGAACAAAACTGATTGAACATCGTATATTCGTGAATTAAATCTTAATCTAATGATCTCTGTGGTGAAAGGAGCGTTTAAAATAGAAGATTTTAATATGAATGAGAACTGTAAAGATCCTCTCCCCTTTCAGCGAGTACAGGTGGACTCTTGCGGTACCCTAGTGATCTGATAAATAGTGCCGGATACTTCCACTCTCCTTTAACACCCTCCTTCCCTCACTCCTCCTTTCCTCAGGTTAGCATCTTTTTCACGGTCACATACCTCATTTCCACTGCCACATACTGTGTTTTAGTTATTGATATTATCAGAAATGATCCCAATCAAGATGCTAACTAATCTCCCTGTTCAGATAATTACGTCGGAGAGTGCAGAGTCACCACCAGCCCCTGCAGTCACCCCCTTCCCTTACGATCCTAACTACCCTTCTGTCTATCCGGTGAGTCAGATTGTTCTAACTGGGAATTTTGAGTTGATTTAAGTGTTGTGCTGTAGTGCAGCTGAGACTGTAGATTTAAATAGTGCTGTGTTACATCTTCTTGAGGGAGATCTTGTTAGTCGCTTTAAAAGAATCTGCTTTCTAGAATAGCGAGGAATCGTTTTTCTAAAGAGGACTCTATTTAAGATAGCTTCTCTCAAAAAAGGCTTTTTATAGGTTAGAGTAGTTTCTGATTCTCCATAAAATGATAAGGAAACGTTCGCGTTTTGAGTCTAAACTTAAAGATACTTATAATCCCCGAGGAAGATATTGTATCTGAAACATTTTGACCATTAGCTGAGAAACCTTCTTTTCAAAGTGTTTTCTTTAAGCGTAATTGTAACGTTCAGAAGCAGCTCCTTATCATTTAGTTGATTTTCCTTTGAAGATTAAGATCCTCACTAGTTCTAAAGAAGTTACGATGGATACTTATTTACAGTTGATACATGGTTTCAGGCTCAGTCATAATACCGGCATTTGAAGCAAAGATGAATACTAGAAATATTTACGAAATTATAAATATTTCGTTACGTTCTCTATTTTGACAACTGTTGGTGTAGAGGAAAACGAGAAAATGTACGAGTGTATATAAGTTCTTCTGCGGAAGTTTCATCTTCCTTTTACTTGACAAGAGTGTGCGTTGTGTTTCATAGTATTCAGCATTTGCAGAGGTGACTTTTTTAATGTGCTAAAAGATGGAATTGCCTGAAATATTATGCGAGCCGTCGGCTTAGTTTTTCTCCAAAATTGGTGATACAAAAAGTTTCCTTTATCATAATTTTACAAGGCAAGATGCAATTAAATAAAATGCAGTTGTCGACAAGGGAGTTTCAGCAAAGATATACTCTGACATAATTAGTTGAATCTAACTGTGATATGAGTTGATATGAGCGCGTTTCGGCACCACAAATGCCAGCGTAATCAGGTTCGGCACGTGCAGAAGAGTATCAACTCAGCTCGGAGAGTTGGGAGAATTAGCTGGCAAATTGCAGCAGTGATTGCGTCGCCAGTCTTATCAAACTGAGCGACTAAGTTCTGGGCTCCAAGCAAATCAGCAAATGACATGTCGTGTTGAGACTGCTCATTGTAGGGTTGATTAGTGCACGTGCAGAGAGCTGGTAAAAGTGCACACGTGCAGTTGTACCGGACATGTAAAAACTCTCTGCCACCATTGCCAGCCTTCCTGACCACACTTATAACTACCACCACTTTCTACTTTTATTTATGGATGAAATTAGGAGAAGCAAGTTGGCTGCCATGTCGGAGTGAGACAGCTAGTATATGCAGCTGGTGATGTGTTATCGCGTATACAGACAGCTCCCGACTGACATGCAGCCCAATTATTAACTTTAGAGAGAGGGCTCTGCTGAGTCCAGGGTAATTGCTGTGTGTTAGTGGTCTAATCGACAATGTGTGCTGCTGTCCCCCAGGATTGTTATCAACTGTCACCTGCCAGAGCTTATAGGGTGTCTTCTGATATCATGCACATGTTTCATACCATACTATTCCCGATAACAAAAGGGAGATTTAAACTATGTTATCTTATAGTCCTGTCAGGGGTCGTGTATCTTAATCTAGCAGGTCTCGTAGGTCCACCGAGTGGGGCCTTTATCTTTAAAATGTCTAAAACTGACCGAGACTATTTAGTAATCTAGTGCATGAAGTGGGAAAGGAGGTTCCAATTTTTGACGGTGGACATTGGACTCTCGTCAGTGGTGATAATCGCTTAAAATTAAGTCTGTTACATTAAGTAATTGTTATCAGGGATATCTATATTGTATAGTTTCATCAGGCTAGACTCGCAATTCCAAAGAAATGAAGTAGGATATTAGATAGGGGGTCGCCATTATTATTATTTACATGAGATAGATAGTGTCTCAAACTCTCAAAGAAATAAAACACTCGATATAAGTTGCTAAGTGCCAATAAGATTTCCTTTTCTATTTCCACAATGACGCCATACCAGGCCATTTTTATGGTCATCTGCTTAGACATGTTTTCTTTGTGTTTTGCAAAGTTACAACACATAACTTTATCTTCGATTGTCGGCTATGATTTTACTTTCGCCCTACTATTAGTAGTAGTAGCCCGACCGGGACACCTTTCTGACTGAACTAATTCGGACCATTGACTTACAGGCCAGCGTTAAAAGCCCATTGATTAGCGTAAAGTCACAAAGGCACTTCACACGTCTTTGTGCTTTTGTAGTTGAATTATTACAATAATTACTTAATTAAAGATTTACATAAACTTCTGATGGGTCGTGTAGTTACTTTTGCAAATTTTAGCACCTTCGTGGACTCCCCATTGGCCGTTTATGCAAGAAATCTATTTTGACTCGTGGGTTACTAACTGGGAACCTCACTGTTTTATAAACAGCGTACTTGTAACAACATGTTTTATATCTGGATTATAACAGCAACCATTTCAGGCTCCCTCGTCCCCGTATTTCGTGCAGACACCCGCTATGTCGGAGTCATCCAGTGGGGCTGCACATTCAAGTAGCGACACTCAGCAAAGACCCGAGTATTCTCTAATGTTCCAGTATCCTGGCAACGGCGGACAATGAGGTCCCCGCGCCTGCAGCTCCACGTGCAGGCGCGCGCGATACGTACTGCTATATACGTGGGATACTATGTAACTCTCAACTGGAAGTTGTTCTTTAGGGAAATGATCACCATGCGCACCTTTAGCCTGGGTGTTTTGGGCTTAAAAATTATGAGGCAGAATCACGTGATGTAGTGTCACACACGTGACGTCACACTTCGTGGCCTGACGTCATATCACGTGACAACAAGCTAAAGATGTTACAGAAAGTGAGATATAAGTGGGTAGAAGTCTCAGTGAAGCTCCATGACTTCCAGAGCTGTTCATATGGGCATACAAGTCGTGAGATTGAACCCACGGTAACCAGAACTTATAAACTGTAACCATAGCAACCGCCATGGTAACCATGGTACAAGAACTCGAGAACCAGAGCGTAGAAGTGTGAGGATGTTATTTAAACTTTTTTATTCTTAATTATTTACAAATGGTCGGTTCTAACTTATATTTCAATTGTATAGTAGCGCTAAATCGAATATTGTTTTTTTGAATACTCAAGCTGCTCCTGCTACAATCTCTGAGTCAGTCTGACAATCAATGATATTTTCTCTTTGTGATTATCATCAAAATTGATTAGAATTTCTCGCAGATGTCGGTAATGATATTGATATATTTATCTCTTCTTTAAAACTGCTTTGTAGATTTATTGATATTAACTTTATTTTATTATTTAAGTATTTTAATACAAATTTCAGTGTGTTGAAATAATTTTTACCGATTTATTTTCTGTAAATAATTTTTATCTCATCAACCGAAAAACTGTCAAATTTAATTTTAGCCCCTCAAAACAAACACTCCGCATACAACAGGGTGCCCCAAAAGTCTTTCTTAAGAAAAAAAAAAGATTATGGTCGCGGAGTACTAATGACGTGTTGTTCATGTCAAGTTTAAGTCTGGAGTAAGAAGCTGCTAAATGATGATTAGGTCTCATTATTACCGGGAGGTCATGTAGTAAAGACAGGATCTGCAGATTATAACGAGGTGGTGACACTAGATTTAATACACTGCCCCCCTGACCAAACAAGACTCCTCAATGTCATTGTGAGATTGTTATAGTAGGGAGATTATTTTAATGGGGCTGAAGATCTGCCTCCATTTTCACGGCGGATACGGAGTACCCAGGTGTGGTTTAACCAGCATGGTCCGTCTACAGTCCACCACCTGATCCTTCAGCCCCGTACTACTGCAGTCAGCCCCTTCAAATTACTTAATTCTACCGGAAATATTGTAACAGTTAAATACGGAAAGTACGGTTTAAGGTCCGGAAATGAGATCATGATCTTAAAAGGGGATGTGTGCCAATAAGGGGGTTATCTGAGTTATAATTCCAGTATGAGGTGTAATGGGTTGCGGTGTTGTATTACCGAAAGCAGTGTTAATTCAATTATAAGCCGTGTTTATAATGGTGTATAACTAAAAATATCAATAAAAATCAGTAACAACATAAATAAATGTCCACTATAATCTCTGATAAACCTAAAACCTTTAAAAAATCAATATCTTGATTAAACTTGTCTCACAAACAGTACAAAAATTAAAACGAACTTAAATCTCTCATCTGAAACCGTAGAAAATAAAATAAACGTCCATATTAAATCAGATATAAGGGTCATACAAAAACTCATACCCTAAACAAATTAATAATAATCTAGAGTTAAAAATAAATTTCACAGTAAACAAAGTTCTAAATTATTGGAGCAGTTTAGAACACTCCCTAGCAATGGCTAACTCCTCATTAGTCCTGACCACTAAAACCCTAGGTTCACTGTGAGTACTGTGAGTAATATCACAAAGAGGAGTGTCTCTAGAGTACGTGTCATGTGACACTGGAAGTAACCCTCCACACACCAGCCTGTGAAGTAGAGGACTGTTCTCTCCAACACCTCCCGTGAAGATTATACAGTCTACTTTGTTGTTCAGCACTGCACTGTACGCTCCTGAAATAAGGTTACTAGGGCGACAGTTGCTAGGGTAACAGTTGCTAGGGTAACAGTTGCTAGGGTAACAGTTAGCAGGGTAAAAGTTGCTAGGGTAACAGTTGTTTGGGTGACAGTTGCTATGGTTACAGTTACCAGGGTAACAGTTGCTAGGGTAACAGTTGCTAGTGTAACAGTTACCAGGGTAACAGTTGCTATGGTAACAGTTGCTAGTGTAACAGTTGCTAGGGTAACAGTTGCTAGGGTAACAGTTGCTAGTGTAACAGTTACCTGGGTAACAGATACTAGGGTAACATTGGATAAGGTTACATCTGTTAGAGGTAAAAGTTGCTAGAATAAGGGTTACTAACCGCTTAAAAAAGTTGAAATAACAAACCTAAACATTTCTTGGCACTGTAAGCAAACATGTTGAAGGCGAGAGTGGACCCAGGATCGCCAGTAGAATATCCTCGCTCCACAGTCAAACTGTCCGAGCTACCTGATTGTGGGACAATTATCAAACGACCTGATAACTTAATATCTCTCAGTACTAGAAACATTGTACATGTTGTGCTGTACATGTTGGACTTGTTGGTAAAAGCCAATGAAAAGTGGGAAGAAATACAGTGTTACATTTGAAATGGGTAAGAAAGAAGCTCACCTGAAATACCGTAAAGTCCTGATTTATTGTGAAGAATGTCGCTCACTTCTTCGCTAGAGTAGCCTTCGTCTGAAAAATTCCACAGTTAACTATTTCCTATAAGGTAAAGATTGAGACGGGGGAGGAATTATGACCTATTCTGATCAAATACAAGAATGTTAATGTGAGCTACTACTTTGAGGTGCCAATTCATAATTAATGCATTCAAAGACATTTTATCATATTTTTTGTGTTAATATTGAAGTTGAAGTTTTTAACTAAATATAGTTAAAGCCATCTCGATGTAATAATAATAAACAAATTTTTCGCAGCTTGGCAATTGATTGGTGTACTTGGTGTTGTACACACTGTATTGATAATAATATCACGTTGTACGTGTAAATAGTGTGGATATATGCGAATATATAATCTACAAACTGAAATAGCTAAAGTGTTTAACTATATTTGAACTATAAATAAATCAAGTGTGACACGAGTCTAATAAAGCAGTCTAATAAAGCATTAGATTAATATTACACGTGAAACCATAAATAAGTGCCCAATTTAAAATTTTGGGCACTAAAATTCTTATTCCTTGGCCAATTTTTTAATTTTTCATGCTTATTTGAAGGCCATTAAGGCATTTGACCCAGTCAAAAAAGTTTCAGTTTTATATCTTTTACGGTTTTTGCGGAACGTTGTGTTAAAGTTGATGCCGTGGTGTCAGTAAAATGGTACGGATATATACATGTATATTATATAATATATACCTATATATATAATATATATATATATATCGTCTCGCTCTATATATATATATCGTCTCGCTCTATATATAGTAAGATACACCTAAGATACACATATATATATAGTAAGATACACCAAAAATACAGTGCAAGAACTTTATCAGTGACTTTATAAACACTAAACAATGTAAGACCAGGGATCCTAGAGTAAGCTATACAAATTTTATCGTGTCTACCACGGTTTTGTATATTTTACTGTGTCTACCACGGTTTTGTATATTTTACTGTGTCTACCACGGTTTTGTATATTTTACTGTGTCTACCACGGTTTTGTATATTTTACTGTGTCTACCACGGTTTTGTATATTTTACTGTGTCTACCACGGTTTTTTATATTTTACTGTGTCTACCACGGTTTTGTATATTTTACTGTGTCTACCACGGTTTTGTATATTTTACTGTGTCTACCACGGTTTTGTATATTTTACAGTGTCTACCACGGTTTTGTATATTTTACTGTGTCTACCACGGTTTTGTATATTTTACTGTGTCTACCACGGTTTTGTATATTTTACTGTGTCTACCACGGTTTTGTATATTTTACTGTGTCTACCACGGTTTTGTATATTTTACTGTGTCTACCACGGTTTTGTATATTTTACTGTGTCTACCACGGTTTTTTATATTTTACTGTGTCTACCACGGTTTGCCCCTACCTGCACGACAATCCCCTTGTAACGTGTCAAATACCATGAAAACTTTACATGACAGCTTCTTGCCTTTGATCTTACGTTACTGTATCAGAATTACCGATAGAAAAATAATTCTGCGAGTTAAAACAATCGACCAGGTCCTTATCTTGGTTTAAAGAGGCACTTTGAGGGTTCTTTCTACGGAACAAATCATTAGCCTATCAACTTCAGCTCCGCTCAGTAGTTGCCGACAGGTCACAGTCAAGCAGTGAGCATGTTCTACATTTTAAACTTTACAAGCTTTTAAATCTCAGTTTGAGCTAGAGAGCTAATGGATAAGTTGCTTTATTTTACATACGTTTTCAGGAATTCGAGAGAACTGAAGATTATTAGGTTTGGTCTATTTAAGGCTGTAGTAACTATATAAGCCATACAACGGCCGTTTATATGCCGTTTAAGGGGAGTAAAAATGTCTTATCTCCCACTCTTGCAATTATTCTTATATTTTGGGCAGTTCGGCAAAATTTTGTAAAAAGTTCGTTGAATTAGTCACATTTTTCAATTCGGAAAAATTCAACATTGAAATCTATTTATTTACTAAATGTAATTGAGAACAATTTGAGACATTAAGTTGCGCTGATGACATCCGTATATAAAACGTTCTATAAAATAGGTAAACTGATGTGAAAATTGAAGCGCGATTAATGAGTTCGGTAAAAGTTCGGCAATTGCTTTTAAAAGGTCATGGAGTTCGGCACCTTTAAAAGTTCGTGGAGTGCGTTTTGCCCAGCTATTTACTATAATAGTCTATGGTTAATTGTGAGCATATAGTTAATAATAATAGTTAATAGTTAATAGTACTATGTTTACAGTATGCACTGAAGGGGTATCATAGGAAGTTTCTTGAACCTATAAAGCTATAACACTTAACAGGTACCCCTCCTCAGTCCTCATTTAACCCTCAATTAAGTTTCTTATCATCCGGCTGAGTCGACCGAGGAGATCGCATAGATCCTATGGATCCTTAGCTACTCCCTAGACTAGGTGACACTGGGATTCGAACCCTGAACCTTCTGCGCAGAAGGCGGATGCTCTAACCACTAGGCCACCTAGCCACCTAGCATATGAAACTGATTTGAATGTGTGAGATCAGAAACAAAACTTATAACATAAGTATAAGGTACTCCACCAAATAGAACATACTTTACAACATTATAATGTTTAAACAGAATATTTTTTTCTAGCAGCTGGTTTGTTGAACGAAATTATACGCCGGAAATAATGGAGCAATAAAATCAGTTAATCATTTCTCTGAAACAATTTTCAACATGTAATTTCAGGCATCAACATGTTCTAATATGCGGCTAATAAACAATCGCCCTATCATTCAAATTGGTTTTAATCCCTTTAATTTTTAATCTTCAGCTAAAGTGTCTGATTGGTTGGTATTACACACAGTGGCGTAACGAAGGGCCCCGCTGACCCCGCTGTGCGGGGGGGGGGGGGGGGGGGGGGGGGGGGCTTGTCTTAGGGGGGGGGGGGGGGGGGGGGGGGGCGCCAAATCGTCGTTTGAATGTGGGACAATTTCGAAAACTTAACTAAAGTACTAGCAAAACTGCGCGTTTTGCTCTAGATACACACCTTTTTAGAGATTTTACCGGCGTATCCTCTAAAATCACCTAATTTGTTCAATTTTTGGGAGGGGCATCAAAAGGGGTGGGGCGCCAACAGGGGGGCGCTTTTTCGGCGGGGGGGGGGGGGGGGCGCCAACAGGCATCGTTACGCCACTGATTACACAACATTGGGTGCTATTTGGGTGTAATTTCAGCTGGATTAACCATAGAAAATGTGGTTGTTTCATGTATACTTAGGCTCCTGGATTGGGAGTACAGATAGAGAGATCAGCTGGTTACAAAAGGGAAAAAATGGGTTGCCCAACATGATAGACTGAATAGTTCATCTGGAAATCCAAACTTTCAAAGAACAGCAATGTAACTTTGCATGTTATATAGTGCACAGCAAGGCCGACCAAGTCAAAGCTATTTGTCATGTTACTGAAGGAAGTTGGGACAAACTCTAAAGAGGAACTTTGAACCCTGATGCGGGACAGGGATATATGGAGGGGGTTATCTGGCGTAGATCGGACTTCCGACCTAGTACTAGTAGAAGCTGCTAATACAAATAAAACAGTAAATCACCATGCACCAGGAACCGCGGTGTCTTTGCTATTAAGAGACTTTGAGAATAATCACAGACTCACAGATATCTCTTTAGACTAAGAGTTGACATTACTGATGGAGGGTAACCTAACGTGGTCAATCATTAAATCAAATAAATTAATCAATTTTGAAGGAGCTGTTTACAGTTTATCGACAATTTTCGACGCAAAATCATCCTCATCCTGCACGAGCTTATATTTCCCACGCGAAGGACTCACCTTACAATTATAACATACTACATAGGATAAAGTCTTAGTATAAAGTTTTGTGTTTGGTACCTTGAAGGAGCTTGATGATGATGGAGGGGTCTAAATCTCCTGATCTGGATCCCATGGGTAAGCCAGCAAGTGGTGTGTATCCCATTGTAGTGTCAATGCTCTCGCTATCTTTAATACACGCCACACTACATCCGTTTCCTGAAAGTATCTTGTATTTATACTTGTTTTCGGCTTTCGCCTACAAACCTGGATCTTTCAAGTTTCATGTAGGAGGTAATTATCGTATTCATGGTTAAACAAGGAACTGAAACCGAGGGGTTCCGTTCAGGCTCTTCACACTTTGTTTCTGTCTATAGTTCTAATGTACCGTCACAATAGTGACTTTAAATATATTACATTGTGCACTTGCGCGCGCTAAAAACTCACTCAATAGCCAAGTAACACACAAAATGTTAGTTCGGCGATCGCGCGTGCCGTCAAGTACATGAACCGCGAGCAATACAGATAAATGGGCACTAGATCAAAACAACTGGCATTTTACATAACAACCTACGGATAGACATGAAATAAAATCAGATGGAGCCGTACTAGACACATACTATACACACCTCTGCATACGCTGATAAATAGAAATAACAGATAAAACAAACCTAAGTGAAAAGAGATAGCGTTTATTTTGTCCTTGCCCAAGAACCGTGCAGCTTGCTCCACCACATACTTGTGAGAAGTACCATGGAAACCGTACCTCCTGTATTTGGTAGCTAAGTTGCTAGGGAGGGGGTATGTGTAGGCATAGTCAGGGAGAGTTCTGTGGTAACCAGTGTCAAACACACCAACCTGCAGCCAGGGAGATATAAGAATGTTTATTATAACACTACAATAAACAGGAATACCCTAGAGATCTTGAGGGTTATGAAGAGGGGCGAGGGAGTATTTGAGGGGGGCCGGGGCTAACCTGTAGAGCAGTAGGAAATATCCGGGTAGCAGCAAGAATCCCCGCTAGATTGTGAGGGTTATGAAGAGGGGCGAGGGAGTATTTGAGGGGGGCCGGAGCTAACCTGTAGAGCAGTAGGAAATATCCGGGTAGCAGCAAGAATCCCCGCTAGATTGTGAGGGTTATGAAGAGGGGCGAGGGAGTTGAGGGGGGCCGGAGCTAACCTGTAGAGCAGTAGGAAATATCCGGGTAGCAGCAAGAATCCCCGCTAGATTGTGAGGGTTATGAAGAGGGGCGAGGGAGTTGAGGGGGGCTAACTTCTCTAATATTTCACTATCTATAACACAGCTCTCTGGAAACACTGTTCCTCCGTGCACTACTCTGTGACCTACTGCCACTATATCTTCACTGAGGAGTGTTATCGTTAGATAGGCTATAAAAGTAAAGGACTTTGTAAACATACTACCAGGGTGTTTGACTCAAACATTTGATGCTGTATAATTAATATACTTATATCTTTTTATAATATAGGTAATATATACTTATATTATATAAGTTATATACTTACATATAAACTTGTGATAAGTAATACAAACTATTGTTAGAAAGTACCTAGAATGAGATCGGATAGTATCAGCAATAAATGAGAGACTAGCTGAGTGTGTAGGAGTGGAGATAGTGGTAGAGATAACAGTCTCCTTTCCTTTCTTTATCTTAACAGTCGGTACTACGTCACCAGTTACTGTCAAACCTGGAGTAACTACTGGTAACTAACTGGTAAATTACTGGTAACTACTGGTAACTTACTGGTAAATTACTGGTAAATTACTGGTTACTTACTGGTAACTTACTGGTAACTTACTGGTTACTTACTGGTTACTTACTGGTTACTTACTGCTAACTTACTGGTAACTACTGGTAAATTACTGGTAACTTACTGGTAACTTACTGGTAACTTACTGGTAACTTACTGGTAACTTACTGGTAACTTACTGGTAACTTACTGGTAACTTACTGGTAACTTACTGGTAACTCGCTGGTGAATAATAGTTAATGTGTGTAATAGGAAGGCTACATCATTTCTAACTGTAATGAAACACTTCATTTGATTTATAGTTCGTTGCAGCAACCTTACATATAGAGACCAAAATTAGACTAGTCTGTATTTAATAATGTCTTAACTTAATTAATAATTTAATAACGTCTAATATATATTATTACAATTTATTTATAGTCATGAAAAATCCATTCTCAGAAATGTATATTTCGTCATTACCTAATCCACAATAATTATCGCTTATTAGATGCCACGTACAATAATTAATACAATAAATGTAACATTTTAACTGACCGTCAACCGCCCCACTAAGAACAGAAGTAACAGAGTAATGGTAACTACTGGTAACTACTGGTAACTACTGGTAACTACTGGTAACTACTGGTAACTACTTACCGTTAACTGCCCCACTCAGAACAGAAGTGACAGAGTTCCTTTTCTCCTTACTCAGAGAAAACAAGTTAAACTTGAGAGAGCTGCTTCCAGCGTTGAGCACCAGTATACCCTGTCTGGATTCAGTGGAGACATGACGTGTACAGTGAGACACAGTAGAGACGTGTGTGGAGATGTGGGCGGGGAGTTGTTTCCATGGTAACACTACTTTCCAGCAGTTCATCCTAGTAATTGCAGATATGTGATGTTATGTTCGTCATTATAGTCATTATAGTGCCCAAATGGAGAGGTCTGAATCCCGTATTTTTCAGATAAGAATGTAACTTTTACAGTAAATTGTACATAAAATCAAAAACATTAACTACAAACAACTTCCACAATTAGCAAATTATTTAAAATCTCGGTCCAGAGAGTAAATATTTGAGTATAGACTAAAAGTGATCGGTTGAAAAGAACAGAGAAACAGTTGCACCCTTTATCGGAACAGTAAAAACTAAAAAGTATATCACAAAATTTGTAATTCAATACGCTAGGAAATCAGAACCTGAAACAAACTTGATAACATGCACGCTATGTTACAACTAGTGTTACAAGTAATGTCACAACTAATGTCACAACTAATGTGACAAGTAGTGTTACAACTAGTGTTACAAGTAGTGTTACAAGTAGTGTCACAACTAGTGTTACAACTAGTGTTACAACTAGTGTTACAACTAGTGTTACAAGTAGTGTTACAAGTAGAGTTACAACCAGTGTCACAAGTAGTGTCACAAGTAGTGTCAGAACTAGTATCACATTAATAACACATTAATAAAATGTGTTAAATAAAGTGTGTTTATAATTATGATTTATGGTACATTGTTATTTATTATATTTATATTTTAGGCTGTAACCTTACTAGTTCAATGGAATAAACCTAGCATGCCTTGGTTGCAGCATCGCTCCACTTATAGGTGCATTTAGGGCCCGATGTAATTGCTATGATCAGTTTACTGGTCAACTGGTGTTTCGGTGTCCCTTATTTTGTTTACACTCGGTCACTTGTCAAGGCATGTAAGGTCATTCGGCGATATTTTCTTTGAAATAAAATGATGTATTTGTGTAACAATTTGAAAGTTTATTGATTAAAAAAAAAAGTGTCACAATTAATGTGACAACTAATGTGACAAGTAGTGTGACAACTAATGTGACAAGTAGTGTCACAACTAGTGTTACAACCAGTGTTACAGCTAGCTGGTCCAAAACTATTTGCCCCTGCTCCTTACAGACCCATATTACCACCCCCCCCCCCCTGTAGGTACCCCTCCCTCCAGTAGGTACCCCGCCCCCTCCTGTGACAAATTGGGCTGCTACACTGACTATTTCCATGATGAGCGCACTAAATTTGGATTAGACGGGAAAATATAACGTCATAAAATACAAAGGAAATTAGAAAACGGCCAAAAGTAGAATAGGGTGATGTAAATATTATATTAATTCAATGATTACTTGCATGCTACGATTTTTATGTTTGAGTTAATAAACTATGATGATTATATTATATGAATTTTTCTTGATAGAGTGCTTATCTTAAAGTTAAATGTTTTTACAGGCTCTAATGATGTAGTTTTACGAAGATGTCAAGCCTTACGTTGTGTGTTTCCCTTCGTGTCCAAAAGCATTATATTATATTAATTCATTCTTTCTGCAGTTCAAAACGTTTCTTCTTCTTCAAAGTTTGTCTCTCAACCCAAAAATCAGTTCACGGTACTGCACCTGGTTACCTCAAAGCATTACTGGATTTGGATGTAGTGGATACAGAACTCTCAAACACTGTGACCAGGTCGAAAAGACCGGATGACCATCTCATGCTCAAGATACCAAAGAATAAAAGGTCCAAAGTTGATGACAGACGTTTTTCAAGCCATGCACCGGTTGCATGGAACTCTCTTCCGCTGATGTTGAGAAGTATTACTGATACCAACTGTTTCAAGCGAATGTTAAAGTCATTTACATAATCAGTTCTGATGTTTTTTCTTTCCATTGTCTTCACTTTGCAAGACACGTTGGCTTTTATTTTTTACCGCACTCCATTTTATGTCTTGATGTCTAACTTTCTAGGATCTGTCTCTTTCTTGATTGATTATGTCACTGTACTTACCTTTATTATACCTACATGTATTGTATGGTTTCTGCTTCTATTTAGTTTAGTGTGGTATACAATAAAAGATGTTTTAATTTTGTCTTTGCCTTATGATGACTGATGAGTTATACTTTGTTCACGTTTACACATTTGCTCACATCACTCACAGTCAGCCGCTCTGACATGGTTAACCACCTTCCTTGTGTTGTTGGTTAATCATATGAGCGGGATATAAATACCTCATTTCATTTCATTTAATTTCAGTCGACCACAGTCGAAATAACTCAACCAGTTTTACATATTTTTGCATGAAATTGTCGGGATCGGTGTATAATTGCAAAATTGCAAAGAATATTGGTGGCCAAATTCCAAAATTTGCGGGGCAAAATTAAGAATTAAACATTGACCTACTTACTAGGGGGGGGGGGGGGGGGGGTCAGGTTCTAAGTTCTGTACGTGTCGTCGACTAAGTGTAATTTTGGAATTTTTCAAAAGACCCACCCACCCCCCTTCGCGGTACGTGTTTAGAAATCACAGTACTGATTGTGTCTTGGTATATAAAATAAGATACCCATAAATTGTTTTAAACAGCTCATTAAACATTGGGAAATGGGCAAATTATACCCCACTATTTAGTAGAGGTTTTGTTTTCAATGTAGTCGAATTAGATAAAAAGTTACAAAAAGAAGATACATTTTTTTTAAACCAAAAAAACTCAAAAAAACCTCAAAACCCATTCCCAAAATGGAAATTTGAGGTAAAATGGTTTTTTTTGGGTTGGACACCCCCCTCAGTACCATGTACTAACTAAACTGTATTTCTGGGAAATGAGCAGCATACTAACTGTGTTTTGGAAGAAAATAATTACCCACCCCCCCCCCCAACGTCACGTACGATACTGACTGTATGATCCCCCCCCCCCCCCCGCTGCTACACTGACTATTCCCACGTTCAGTGCATTAAATTTGGATTAGACGGGAAAATATAACGGAAAAAGGACCCTATCAGCCCAACTGGGCACTGGTAATATTTCATCCTTGAGTCCTGAATACTGGTAACTACTGGTAACTACTGGTAACTACTGGTAACTATGGTAACTACTGGTAACTACTGGTAACTATGGTAACTACTGGTAACTACTGGTAACTACTGGTAACTACTGGTAACTACTGGTAACTACTGGTAACTACTGGTAACTACTGGTAACTACTGGTAACTACTGGTAACTACTGTCCTGAAGGCCTGTAATAAGACAAATGAACAGGTCGTGACAAAAAATTAAGGTAAAATCTGTGAAGTGATGCAAAGATTGATGCTAGCAATGGTGCAAAAGTTAATGCTAAGAATAATAAATATATTTATTAGATTTGCGGTTGAAATAGCGATGAGCTAATTAAATCACTAGCTAAACATATAGATTATAGACATTTCGTTATTCTGGTAAAATTAATAGCCCACTATACTATAGTGACTATAGTACCCTCTATCATTCTCGCTATCTCGTTAACTATTATTAGTTAACTGCAGCCTCTGTTCATCGTGCAACTACTTACTTGTTCTTTATACTTTACTTCTAGATACTATCATAAAATGAAAGCGAAAAATGTTAAATTTTTTGCCATAGCTTTTAGGAGTGAACTAGATCATTAAATCATTTGAATTTTGCAACTAATATACATTTTCATGATTGAGAGGACCATCACACGTTTAAGCAAAGCGCAGATTATTTGGCGCATATCATGTGCAACGAAACATCAAAATGCTCCGTTGAACTCCTACAAATACATAATATTCACCACTTTGCCAATCTATTGAGTTTTAGAAACAAAAATACCAGATTTTTGTATGTCTGTACCGTGACCATTATAAAAACCTCGTATTACAGTCTGAACCAAGTAAAAATAGAATTGAAAGCATAGAAACGATCTTTTAAATGAAAAACTTTAAAACGATCATTAAAATGACAGACTTGCTGTCAGATTAAACTCCTGTCAGTGTCGTCAATGGACCATGTCGGCATGTCTGATAAAGGTACAGAATATTTCTCCTCGTTTCGCTCGAATGACCTCAAGCGGTTAACGTGAATGACTTTAAACGTTACATCGATTTAAAAATATAACGACAATGTCTTGGATATCCTCAGGCAGTTTTCGTAAATATATACATTTATTGAATCACAATTTGCCTTCCAAAGGAGTGAAAGGCTTTGCACAAATATTATGATATAATAACTTGCAGAATTGCAGAATCGCAGAATTGCAAAATCTGCAGTCTGCACGTGCAAATATCCTCTGCACGTGCAAATATCCTCTGCAGTTGCAAATATCCTCTGCACAGATTGGCATTCCTGCATAATAGTTCCAATGTTTACTTAATATTTCAATTCTGAGGAATCAACTTTGTTAACTTTAGTCTCCTAAAATATCTAATATTTATCATATTATTAAATTCAATATTAGCATAATTGAACCGATGTTATCGTAAATAAATAGATGATAAGTTCAGTGATAAATTTGATGTTGAAATTTTAAATGATTTTATGTTAAATTTGGTGCATGATTGAACCAATATCAATTTAAATTTTATAATCTATAGAACCAAAGTTAAGTTCGATATCAAATTCGATTGATAAACGAATTTCTTGAAGTTGAAATTAAGATTTAGTATTCAATTTTAAAATCAACTAATGAAAACAATATATTTTGTCGGTAAGATTTCATACGCCGATGGTGGATAAAAATAATAAATAAAAATACACTTTTCATTCGATATACTTATTAATATACTTATCATTCGATCCTTACTAAACTTTTGTCGTAAGTACTTATTATATAGTTCAAAAATGTCCAGAAAAATGTTTGTAAAGTTTTTAAATTTTCTACCTTATAGTTCAAATTCTGTTAAATTCTGTTAAATTCTGTTACAATTTACATACTTACATTTCTTAAAGAATGTTTTCCAAAAAATGTTACCAGTTTCTCCCTTTTGAGATCTATAACTGCGGGCATATTTTTTTTAAATTTCAGAGACCTTACCTCAAAGTCGGATTTAGGTTTACCTTTATAGGCCTTTTAATTGATCAAATATTTAAAAACAATTAATCCTACTATACGGCGAGCTGTATTGCTATCCTTTTGATAATATAATTTTGTCAGGCTGCAGCTCGCTGCAACTATAGAACTATACAGATTGGATTGTCAATTATTTAAACCATGCCGGATATATTTCCTGATACCTACGTATTACTATTTAAGTTGTACGTGAGTTCCTGGACGAAATCTGGAGATTAGAAAGGTTTTAGCTGCATCAAGGTTTCTTCTTAGATGATTTTTCATTTTAGATTATCGTAATGTCATGTAATAACGTCATGCAATCTTCGATAAAAGGCTCGCCTTCGATTTCAACTATTTAGACCGCCTATACCAACTAACTAATACTTCCGGTGAAAAATTCAAAAATAAATTATAAAACTTAAAAGCAGACAGAATTTTAATTTGATAACCTGAGATCAGTTTATCATGAAAATCATTGCAATATAATTGGATTATTGCAGGATTGCAGATAGATAATGTAGTTAGGTAATTGTTCCAAGAGCGCTGGCCCTACCTACCACTATTTCCCGTACTGATCGTCCATTGAAACAATTTATATATTATCAGCCTGAGCCATCTTCACTAGTCAATATTTATTCTTATTGGAACCGGAAAACGGTAAAAATATTCCATTCTCCGGTGAAGTTTAATATCTTAAATTCAGTTGATTTCTAATTCTCAACTGATCAACAGTCTCATACCATACTGTTATATAGACTAATCTTATTTGGGGGGGGGGGGGGGGGGGGGGGGGGAGGGGGGCCAAGGGGTACTTATTTGTGAAACTTGATTTTGAGATAGCAGTTGATCAACTAACTAGGACCGGAGACCGAACATTTGAGGGGGTCCCAGACTCCAACCGCCCACCGGTGCCCATATTTGGTCCAAATTAGGCCAAATCCCCTGAACATGTCCAAAACAGTGATGCCACGTGGGCGTCTGATGCCACGTGGGCGTCTGATTCGCTTCAGACAGCCCTAAGTCACTTGTACTTACATGGGTTATTTTAATCCCTTTTGCAATTCGTTTCTGCAGTTATGCAGACTGCTGCAGCTCTTAACTATATCATGATATCACCTTGCATCCCAGAACACGCCGGCGAGAAGAATTTGTTCTGAAAGATTCCTTTTGAATAGTACCTTCCGTAAATTCACATAATTCATTTGTCCTATTACTGAAGGATAACCTCGTTGATCAGCATTTCCCCCCAAACACGTACCGTGAACTAAAATCAGCAGGCTATTAACCCTCTAGTGATCACTACTAACTGTAAGCAACGAGTTGTCACTAATAGGTCTACTAGTGGCAACCTACCTTCTCTTCACACTTCTTTTGAGGATTGCGCAGACCGTAGTCCCCTGAGTCTGCAGCCCCTTCTTCTATGCTTGTTGCAGGTGGTCGTACCCTCCAGATTTTTCAGATGGGACTTTTCGATCCAATTCAGGTCTAAAGGTGGCTATTGGCTGGTCACCTGACTGAGCATTGTTTAGTTTTGCAATTTTACTTTTTAAATTTATCAATTTTTGTCTGCTTTAGTTTGGTGAGCTCACGGTACGTTGAATTGATACGACAACTTAACTGGGAGGAATGATATTATATTCTTGTTTTTTCATTAGACCTAAAAACGCTTTAACAGAATTATAGATTTATAAATTTGCAAATAAAAATATAACGAGTAAGGGTAAGTTAAAAATATAATATCATTAATATTGTTATAATACAAAAGTATGAAGTGGCTCAATCCAAACAGACCGCAATTTAATTCTGAGTGTCCCTCACGTATCTAATAGTAATACTTGATAGGCAATATTGAGGTCCACTGCCAAATTACCTAATTATATAGCGAATCTGTTATGGGGGAGAGAGAGCGAGAGTGTGAGGGAGGGAGAGTACGTGAGACACGATAGTATCACATTTGTGTCACAAAATGATCAATTGAACCACTTACCACGACTGATTTAAAAAACTTTGGTTCGTCAGAGTTTGTCGAAACTATACCGAAAAAAACCAGTCCCATAACTCTTACCATTTTCTTGAGTAAGCCGTCGGAAATTTCCCACATTCACACACGAACCCACACCCTTTTTGGGATTATTAGTATAGATATTATTACGCAGATCCTTATTAACCTAGTTCCGCCCAACAAATACTTAGTCACGCTGTACCTTTTGTCGGCATCATATTTATATACTTTACTCTATAATATAATTATAACTATTAATAATTTTCACGTAATTTTTTACTGGCATTTTGTTAAAACGTTTTCAGCTCTGATGAAGCCATTGTTAATGAAAAATCAACCAACAATCGCATTCATTCCAATTAAGTCGAATCAATTATCGTCCAACAGTTAAGAAGAAATATAAATAAATAAATATAATGACTAACACGTCGTATTCTATGTATGTGGCAACCGCTAATAAACAATAATTAAACTTGGTGAACAATTGATTCCTATTTATAAACTTCGTAATTTAATGAGTGGTCCAATATGGTTACAGTTAAACTGAGCAACAATATCACTTTGCAGCCCTCGCACGAGAGCAGCACGCCTGCACAAACAGTCGCACTGCTGCAGGCTTTAAAATATTTGCTCTTAATATTAATTATCATTATTTAGCGCTTTCAGCAGATTAAATTAATAGTTATAGCCGGAAATATTTCTTGCTACCTTGACTTTAAATTCCAGGACGGAATCTGGGGATTATAAAGATTTTAGCTGCATCAAGGCTTCTTCTTAGCTTATGTTGATTTTAGATTATCGTTATTCTCATGTAATCTTCAATAAAACTAAAAGTTGTAATACAGCGGCACTAGCGTTCTCTTAAATATTTGAAAGTTATCTTATTTATTAATTTAGCGCCGAAGGAGATCTCTCTGAGGGAGTTCCCTCCAGAGGCAAGATCTCTTTCCGAGACAACGCTCTTTTGATAAGAGTATCATCGAAGAGAGAATCTTTTCCGATGTAAGAGCTCCTTAAATCGTCTAAAATATGAAAATCAACTTTTCTAATAGTTTTGATCACCTAATTATAATTTTCCTGGATAGCAGTGATTTAAAACTCAACACCGGAATAAGATGGCTGAGAGAACGTTCCTCGCATTGCTCTTCATTCTAGTGTCCCTTATCACACTTGCATATTCACACGACCCATGTGATTGCATAGACGATTTGAAGGGAACTGAAGTCACGGTAATTATTATTTTGCAATTTTTCGACCTTCTGTAAAGTCTGTATTTGGGAATAAAAGTAAGGACTGTTTTCTGGGTTTGATTTATAAGTGTTCATGTTTTTCCTTATATTTTTACATTTGTAATAAACCGTGATTTTTATCGCTTTTTGTAGAAAAATAAGTTGTGCACAGACCCTCATAGAGTTTCCGCATCAAAATATTTTTGGGTACATTTTTCTCTACATCGCTAAAATTAAAGTGAACCAACGTACCTGATTTAAAAGATCTATGATTTTCCCGCTGCTTCAAATCAAGTTAGAAGCAGTGAATGTAATTCTCGAAAACCGATTAATGGAATCATTGTCCAGAAAAACTAAAAATAGCAATTTTGATTATATGTAATTAATGTTTGTTTGAGCAGGACGAATTACCAGCGCATATAACTGAAAGCTTAGTATTCTTAGAGGAACTTTACGATATGCAGCGTCGGATCGGCAGAACGGTAAGTTTACTTTTATAATCCTTTCAGTAATTAGACCTGTAACATGAGATATATTTCTTTATTTTAGAAAGAAAATAATACCAGATGCAATGAAACTCAATATTTATATCTTGAAGCGATAACAACGCAACATAAGGCCTGGTGCAAAGGGACATCCACTACTTGTCATTATCGGAACCATTCGTATAGTCTGCTCGATAGATGTATTATATTTGTGGTGTTGATGAAGTTAAGAAATGAATAATATAATATGATAAAACTTATTTTCCGTTAAAAATTAGACAAATATCCACCGGGATCTTGTGGTGCACATCATGTTTCCTCTGTGATACGGCCCGGTAAAAAAACTACCAGGTTCGAGGGGCCAGCTACCCTTCAACCTTAAAGGAGCGAGTGAGATGGCTAGTGACCGCAAACTTTGGAGGGAGATGATACGTCACAAACGGGAGTTCGTTGGTGCAGGCCACTCGAATGATTGAGGAGACCTAATCAAGCAGTAAGATACGGCCCGGGCAACTCCACTGTACCTGATATCTAAACATTTTGTTCTTGATTTATTAATTTTACCGGGGTAAGCACAGGGCTCCAATGCTCTATCTTACAGTGGTCACGATCTTACCATTAGTGATATTGACCACAGCCCCCTACGAAGAAGAAGAAGATATCTAGGTGACACATCAGTGTCTGCAAAACTGCAAATCATCAGTGTCTGCAAAACTGCAAATTTCACATACCTGTGACCTTTTGGCTTTTGTTCTGCAGAATGATGAGTACTGCAAGATCGTGGAGGAGCTAATTTGATCCACTATATCACGACAGGCCATGTTAAATAAATGTTTAAAGACAATAGCTAACTTTTAGTTTTAAATGTCCAGAAAAGCCCACGTCATATTTTATTATTCCCTAACCGATACTAAGAATTATTTAACCGATACTAAGAATTATTTAATTCCATTTGTAAAACTGCAAGAGAATCAGATAATAGGGATTAACGAGGTCTCTGGAGCACATTTGAACGAACATTCTTTGATGTCTGTGTTACCCACCCCAACTCACCCACATATGACAAAAAAGATATGGAACAGATCTATAAAGCTCATGAAATGAGGAAAATGAAAAAAGTACAACAACAGAATCATCCAGGTGGAAATAGGCACCTTTACCCCACTTATATACTCAACAAATGGCGGATGGGGTCCACAAGCCACAAGATACCACAAGAGACTCGCCGAAAAACTATCCCAGAAGAGAGGAGAAGACTATGCGGCTATTATGTGTTACATGCGCACCAGGATTAGATTCTCAATCCTCAGGAGCACCCTGATAGCGGTCAGGGGTGAGAGAGGGAGACGGCAATCGTATACATTGCCAGTCAGTGTAACTTCGTTTAACTTGATACCTGCCACCATGGACTATGAATGTTTCTAGACACTATCCTTTTGATATTGAGATATTGGTATCTCAGATCACGTGTACATCGTTCCTTTTTTATGACACAGTAATTTATTGACACTCACAGCTTCACAGCTATAATTTTAATCATTGAATCAGTATTTTTATCTGTGCTCTGCGTAATGCATCACATGAATCAGTTTTTAATCTATTAACTTATTACACATTTGTGCTCTGCTTTAGCATCACTTGACTATTTAAAAAAATTGTTTGTTCAGGCCATGACCTTATAGTCAGCCAATTGGCCATTGCTGAAATTGAATGTAATTTATTCACTTTTACTATTATTGTAATGATAATAGGGATTTCTTCGGATTTATCATACCGGTTTCAGTAATACTCTGTCTCTTCAGGCTGTATTGTCATGTAAGGTGAGGGGGGAACCACCCTTGAACTTGTACATTTATCATGACATAATAGCTACCTACAAACAAAAGCTGAAACAGAAGAAGAGGAATTTACCTTGTGACACGTAAGAAGCTTGGTTTATTTTCATCTGAAGTTAATGAAAGGAACGTAGTAAAATTTCTTGGAATATAATGCACTTCCGTTAACGAAAATAATATAATATTCTTACCCCAGGATCTACGACCCTTTAATACCAGACGAGGTAGCAATCCGCTATGAAGTGGACATATTGGAGGCAAAGCATGAAGGTGTTTACAAGTAAGTCTCGTATCAATAACATTAAGAATATTAAAATCAGTCCAGACTGATTCCCATTAAGAATCTCATTGGATTGGACCTTTACTGATAGTTGAAATTCGACATATGACGTCATCTAGCGTCATCTAGCGTCATCTAGCGTGAAATATCGCCAGATGATGATAGATGACGCTAGATGACGCTAGATGACGCTAGATGACGCCAATTAGCGATATTGTCGCTAAGTGCACGGCACCTTTCGAATGTCGCTATCTAGCGCTATCTAGCGCTATCTAGCGCTATCTAGCGCTATATGACGCTATATGACGCTATATGACGCTATATGACGCTAGATGACGCTAGATGACGCTAGATGACGCTAGATGACGCTAAGCACGCAGCACTGACGCCAGGCGACAGATAGCGCTATTTTCATAAAAATTCTAGGGACGACATCTAGCGTCATCTAGCGTCATATGTTGCCGCGACATCTGACGCTATCTGACGCCATCTAGCGATATCTGACGTCATCTGACGACATCTGTCGCGACGACATCTGACGCAGGCGACATCAAGCGCTGGATAGCGGGATAAGTCAGTTTACGACAGTTCACGCTATCTAGCGCTATATAGCGCCAGATAGCGCTATAGCGCTAGATACCGCTAGATGTCGCAAAAAAAAGGGCGGAAATTTTATGAAAATAGCGCTATCTGTCGCCTGGCGTCAGTGCTGCGTGCTTAGCGTCATCTAGCGTCATCTAGCGTCATCTAGCGTCATATAGCGTCATATAGCGTCATATAGCGCTAGATAGCGCTAGATAGCGCTAGAAAGCGCTAGATAGCGACATTCGAAAGGTGCCGTGCACTTAGCGACAATGTCGCTAATTGGCGTCATCTAGCGTCATCTAGCGTCATCTAGCGTCATCTAGCGTCATCTATCATCATCTGGCGATATTTCACGCTAGATGACGCTAGATGACGCTAGATGACGTCATATGTCGAATTTAAACTATCAGTAAAGGTCCGGATTGGACCTTTACTGATAGTTGAAATTCGACATATGACGTCATCTAGCGTCATCTAGCGTCATCTAGCGTGAAATATCGCCAGATGATGATAGATGACGCTAGATGACGCTAGATGACGCTAGATGACGCCAATGTTGCTAATTGGCGTCATCTAGCGTCATCTAGCGTCATCTAGCGTCATCTAGCGTCATCTATCATCATCTGGCGATATTTCACGCTAGATGACGCTAGATGACGCTAGATGACGTCATATGTCGAATTTAAACTATCAGTAAAGGTCCATTGGATTGAGACCGGTAATACTTGCACATCTATACTATATTAATCTAAACTTGACGGAATCTCCCTGACAACGGCAAAAAAATACAAAAAAATACCAAAATTTTTTTTGTTGATAAAAAAGTATCAACTAGGAAATACTTCGAACTTTATTGTCGTCGTCTAATAAAACTCCATTCTTATTACAGAACGGGGCTAGATGATGAAGAAAATTAGAACATCGAATGATTTAAAATTTCCGCGAATCAGCGGCTTTCCAGTAAATTATATACTAGCTGGTGACTAATAGTTCCAGAAAGCAATAATTCTGCACATTATTTCATATTATCACTATCTCTCTCAGATGCCAAGCTGAGTCGATAAATGGTGACATAGCAGTATCAGTGATGACTCTAACCCTTACAGGTACGTGAATACCTCAATAATAATAATATTTCTAATGGGTTGGTCTGACACACATGAAACTGAAGTTTCCGAAGAAAATATTTAATTTCATCAGGATTGGTTGATAGCCCGTTGATAGCCGGTTGAGAGCCGGTTGAGAGCCGGTTGAAAACAGTTTACCGGTTTTTCTATACTGCTTATTTATCCACTCTTTCTCTTAGATCCGTGCGAGGGTAAAGTATGTGGGTTTAGAGAGAAATGTGTTAACATTAAAGGGGCTGGTAAATGTACATGTGACTTTCCATGTGAGATATCATACGAGCCTATCTGCGCTGAAGAGCGAACTTTCTGCAGGTTTGTGGTTATTGAAGAATATTTTAAAATTCTTTTTCAAAACGAAACATATGTAGATTATACAAAAAATACTTAAAATACAAAAAAATACTTGAAATACAAAAATGATACAGTCTAATTTTAAAACTGGATCTTGAGATAGCAGTTTACTGATGAGCTCAGGAGGTGAGTAGCTCGTGCTACAATGGTACAAGAGGACAAGGAGAAAACCCTGAAGCTTTATTTTCGGACATGTTACGAAGATTCTTAGTGTTGGGCCAGTAAATGGTCGAGTCCTAGTCCCTTGGCCCTCAAAATCTGAGTTACAGAGGGAGGACTGATTGTCCCTGATGAAACTGAATTATGTCCCCCTTGTTAAAGATAACTAACATTAAACTGTTTCAGTATGTGTCACGCGGAAAAGCTTGAGTGTCGGGTGGGACAACATTTGACCAACATTGTGAACGGAACATGTGATGGAGTGCAAGGTATGTAGTGTAATACAACGAGCCGATGCACAAATATATAAATTGGGCGACAGGAAGATATTACAATTATTATTATAATATTACAATTATTATATATTTTGAGTTAACATTGACTGGTGTAAAAGAGAGCCTCAAACAAACAGATGGTAATCCGTGTGTGATTGCGATAATATTAGTGGTCTCCTAGGCCCTAGCATTAGACAGTCTAGTTAAGCTGGGCATCAGTGTCACATGTTAGATAATTCTATAAGAATTTGCCCTACTCAGTATACATAATTTATCTTTCAGAGGTACCATTGAAGGCATTCTGTGGTTTATCAGTTGGGGATGGATATATTTCTAGATCCGATAACGATTACTACAGTACTAAAGGTTTGGAATTACAGTTTTAAATGGATATTTTGCAACAATATACCGAATATTCGTAACATCTTAATGGCATTTACAATTATATTTCAAATATATTGGATAAACGGAAAAACGGAGAAACAGGGCGCTTATCCGTGTTAATTTATTTTCAGCATTACCAACGGAAGCAACCTGTACGTTTAGTGGGGAAGGACATGTTACTAAATTCAACGGAGATTACTTTACTTTCAAAGGTTTGCTATTCCCTAAATAAATCGCTTATTATGCTAGCTTACAATTTCTCGTGCCGATTTATTTTTTACCGTTCATGGTGTAATGTTTTACTGTAACTTGACTATGTTGACTGATTACTAAAAATATACTATTAAATTGGATTTATATAATATATAAGTACAAGTGTAATATAATAGTCTATCTTGATATCTTGATATTAGCAATGATACTGTTTTTAATACGACTGATCCCACTTTTACGTTATATATCATACTATTAATATGATATTAGAAAATAACGTTAAAGAAATCACATTATGATTATTGATTATGCGTTAAGTTATAGAACTCCTGACCAATCGAGTGCCTTCACGTGACGATTTGGTAGTTGATACGTTTTATTGTAGATATAGATATACTTATATTGAGTACTGTATTTGATAAATCAAATTTATCAAATACAGTACTCCATAAATGTTAAATTCTTGTTAAATTCCTTTATGAAAGTAATTCCTTTGTGATAGATACTCCTCTAATTTCCAACGATTACAGTGATATTCCAAGGTTGACTCAACCCTTGCTGTTCTCTCAAACTATAAGGATGTGAATTGTGAATCTAATTCAGCTTGAGCATAAAATCCAGCCCTTCTCGCTGGCTAATATAGGTCACGTTATTTATCAAGTGACTGTACCTCGTGACTGCGTCACTCGGTTACCACGCGCCCGACAAACTGCAGTGCCGTACCATAATATGTAATATTCTTTCTATTAAAATATTTAAGGCGGATACCAATCTATCGCACATTTATTATAAGATTGTTGTACAACATGAATACTTCTTAAAAATAATTTGATCTTAATACTTTTACAGACTGCAGTTGTGTAAGTAAGTAAGTAAGTTATTTGCGACCAATTTAGTTAAGCAATGTTCCTAAGTAATGTTCCTAAGTAATGCTCCTAACAGTGGTACCGCAGGAGCTTGTCCGTACAAGATGGCGGAAGACTCAAGAGGAAGAACGTTCATTGTGTACGCGAAGACTGAGACGTGTGGAGTGAACGAGGAATCCACCTGTCTTAAGTACGATTAATATCTCCAAGTTCCAACAATCTTCACTCACTTTCATATCTCCAACAATCTTCACTCACTTTCATATCTCCAACAATCTTCACTCACTTTCCTTTTTCCAACAATCTTCACTCACTTTCATATCTCCAACAATCTTCACTCACTTCCCTATCTCCAACAATCTTCACTCACTTTCATATCTCCAACAATCTTCACTCACTTCCCTATCTCCAACAATCCTCACTCACTTTCCTATCTCCAACAATCCTCGCTCACTTCCATATCTCCAGCAATCCTCACTCACTTTCCTATCTCCAACAATCCTCACTCACTTTCCTATCTCCAACAATCCTCGCTCACTTCCCTATCTCCAACAATCCTCACTCACTTTCCTATCTCCAACAATCCTCACTCACTTTCCTATCTCCAACAATCTTCACTCACTTCCCTATCTCCAACAATCTTCACTCACTTTCCTATTTCCAACAATCTTCACTCACTTTCCTATCTCCAACAATCTTCACTCACTTCCCTATCTCCAACAATCCTCACTCACTTCCCTATCTCCAACAATCCTCACTCACTTCCCTATCTCCAACAATCCTCACTCACTACCCTATCTCCAACAATCTTCACACACTTTCCTACCTCTAACAATCCTCACTCACTTCCCTACCTCACTTGTACTTCCATATCTCAACATTTTAATTGAAATTAACCGTCGGATTAATGTTATTACACCATGTTATTATTAATAGTACATTAATTTGACTCTCTTCTGCATGATCTTGCTTACCTCGTGAAGATTTCTAAAGATTTGTGGAATTAAAGATCACAAAAACTAATTCATTGAATTCAGATCAATAACGATGTATGTGGATCGTATCTACGGGTTCTCTATTGAAAGAGGGTGGTTAATAAACGATAACGGGCGAAGAAAGAACGTACTGAAAGGAGAACGGATCATACTCGGCAACGGTAAGTAGATACCGTAGTGATAGTAACCATGGTAACAGTGATATTAGTAACCATAGTAACAGTGATAGTACTTAGTAGTAACCATAGTAACAGTGCTCGTAGCCATAGTAATAGAGATTAAATATGACATTTCTAATACCCCTTCAGGTGCTGTCTCCATTACAAGAGTAGGTAAGACGCTGGTAGGACGCATTGAAAACAAGAAAATAGAGTTCGTTTACGATGGTCTGAACTACTTCAAACTTTCAGTACCCCTCGACTTTGTATCGGTAAGAATCAAAGATGTTTTTTTAATTGGTATCTACTGACTTTTCTGTAAGAATTAAATTGCAACTCCTCAATTGAACCTCTAATTTCTTGTTTATTACTGTTTATTTTATTTATCTATTCTAATCTTATTAACGACCAAATGGATGTAATTAAGAACTCACATATCAATAGCTGTGCCGATGACACAAAGGTGTCTTGTTATAGAGAATTGGAGAGCATTGTAGTGTTTAGTAGGGAGCATCACGGCTCTCGAAAAACAAAGCAATGAAGTGAAACAAAGCAAATAACTGGTGAAAACTAAATGAACATAATTGATGTTTCGGCACTCATTGGCATTTTACTAAGATTGCAGATTGCAGAAAATTACAAGGGCCTCACTAGAGTAGGTGAGCCCAATAATAGGAACTACAACAAGTAAACCCAACCTGGCCAAACTTAGTAGTTTAATAGAATAACAAAATAGGATGTAGATCAGGCCAGAATGGTAACCTAGGTATCACACTGTGAGATCTAGAATCGGAGAGATGTCACGTATCTACTTTACTAATATTCATCTATATATTATAATAATTTAATTTATTCATTTATTTCCGACTAGAGGGCGTGATCAAGAACCCAAAAACTCAAGTTGATTGATATCCAACCGTTTCTGGTCCGACAGCCGATACCCCACACCGGTCAACATTATTGCCAATAATGTTAAGAGTTCGGCTTCATGGGTACCTGGCACGTTCAAAATCAAATATCTAACTTCCACGTCTCTATAATCTTCTCTAAAAACATACGGTCCACTCTAGGCTTGATCACTGAACTCCCACAAGGTACATGTATTTTGATTACCATTAATTGTACTTGTATTTAAAATCAAGCTATATGTTTTACTCTCCCAGAGACCTGACAATTTTGATGGATTCTGTGGAACAATTCCACTTACCTTCGTTCCGGGGGTGAAAGGAAGAGATATTAGTAACGATCCTGGTCTCACCATTCCTGGTAAGTCACTAGCCTCCAGTCATCTGGTAGCTAATTAGCTGGAATGGTTGTTCTGAATAGGTTTTGCATAGACTAAAATACCTGCTATTACATTATACTTCTTTCAGCAATGTTTAATACTGTTCGTAACATAATACACACTGATACCTACATACTACATAGTACTACCTAGTACTACATAGTACTACATAGTACTACATAGTACTACATAGTACCTACACAGTACACAGTACATAGTACATAGTACACACTACTACTAACTGCAGTAACTAGTAAACCTTCTTCCCCAGCTCTGAGTGATAAATGTGCAGCACCACAGTTTGGAGCACCTACATGTGACAATCCAGAAATACCCAGTCAAGTCAGGGAAGCTTTCACTAACAAGTCAGTTCGCGGACATCCATTCTGGCCAAATGTCTCAATTATAAGTTATGATTTCATTGGTTTAATAATTATAGTTAACGTTTATGCTTAAAGTGTGGTTAAAGTTCTGCTACTTCAGTATGGCAGTAGCATCCTGTGTTGAAAAGATCCCAATAACTACCTACCTGGAACGAGCGATACAAGACACGTGTAGCTGCGATCACAGGAGTGATCACAATTACTGCTTCTGTAATGTCCTCTTCTCGTATCTGGAAGATTGCAGACAGGATGATGTTGATGTTGATGTTAGCTTCGCTGATGTTGAGGATCTATGCAGTAAGTCACTTGCCATGCACCCAAATAAGCCTTAAGAGGGCCCACCACTATAAGTTATGAACACGTTAGATTACACATATATATAATGTGCTAGTGATTTAGATGATGTAATTAAATTTCAAATGTATTTACTTTTCAGGAAAATCGTTCCACAAAGACGTTTTCAAATCAGAGGGAATCAGCTTTTATAACCGTAAGTTTTTGTTGTGAGGATACATTTTACAGATTTAGTAACCACAGTAATGGGTCTATAGTATATACTTACTTATGTGCACGTGTGCGTTGGGGTTACCGGTTTGATGTGTGCAGGTGATCCTTGTTGATACCAACAATTACAGGAGGAAGATTGTATAAAAGCAAGAAATAGGCACGAGACATTGAAGATGTAAATGTACTGGAGCTTCTAAACAGGAGCTATCGGTTACGTGCACTATAGATTAAACCACGTGACCAACCAAACAGATCGGTGATAACAAGCTATTGACAGTTTTAAATAAACATGGAAGAGGACGAATTTCCGGAACAGTTTGCAAGTTAACACTTAACATGGCAAATTGGCACGATGCTAACCGGCTATTAACCGTTTTATAAATGTTGATGAATTCGTGGTTTACAATATATACATGATACAGCCAAATGTCTCTATACCAGGTTACTGTCTATACCGTGTACCTCGATATACCGAGCCTCTTCTTTGCCAAAACTTTGATAAATTAGCTCGTTTAGTGAAAGAATTTTGACTTACCATAGCTCACTTATATCGCACTTGATGAGTGATTTCAGAACAAATCAAGTTGTATTGCATCACAATACGACAGAAGGTTACAGATACTGGGCCGGGGTTTACCTCTATACACCTGATTTTTCTATACCGGACACTTTTCGATTCCCCACAACAGACCTGGAATATAGACTGTAGAGTAATATTTGCATTATTTTGCAAATATATATTGTTTTCACTAAATTAGGTTTAATTGAATAGCCTAGGATGACATCTTGTATCATTTGATAAAGTTTTTGTTTTCCTTTGCGGTGTTTGGAGTCCGAGTACATTACTTGATTGGAATGTTAAAACGATATTATTCATTAATTTTAATACCGTTCAGTGTTTGATAATTTTCTATATCTGTATTCTGTTTGACTAAGTACCAAATCTTTGTTAGGTGAAATTAAAACAACATTACTTCACATTTATTTTGGTTTGGATTGACGTGTCCGTTGGACAATTTATGACAATAATCGATTCATATAAATTTGAATCTATCTGCTTGCAGCCTAGTAGAGCTTATATTTTATCGACCAATCGTTTGATCAGGGAATTATGCCGGATATAATATTGAAACTTGATTCAGAGAGTAGTAGTTTGGATAGTATTTTAACAACCAACTAGGGTCTGTGACAAAACTTGTGAGGGGTCGCAAAATCCAAGCGACCACCGGTACTCGCAGGATAGATATTTGATTGAAATAAATTTTCATTATGCCCATATCTTGCTCGTTTGTGGCTATTAAAGCAAAAAAACCAAACATGCCCGATCAAGTTTCACAAATATATCAGGCAGAACCCCTGCTCAGATGTGCCACGAATGAAATTATAGGTTTTTAAAGTGCAAATGGAAAGGGATTGTATGCTTTTATTGTATTTATATTCACGATTTGTATTTTTGTTATATCAAAAGAAGGCTGATGACCTTAATCATCAAATTTTAAAGTTCAATATGCATAAGCAAAAACATGGTTGTTTTTGTTCTATTGAAATCCTTCTGCGAACAATTGATCGTTAGCAACTATTAATTAATCAAATGCGCTTATTTTCATAACAGAGAGCAGTAATATTCAATTACTTGCTTTCTGCGAAAAGTCTCCTATATCATGCTTTTTAAATAATAAGTTGCCTAGAAAATTAGGATATATCCTCTCGACTCTCTGCCAATTGAGTAGTTGAGTGGTGCAATGTTTATTAGTCGCATACTGAATACTGAATTTGATTGAAGAAATTTTGATATTCCTCTTTTATTGCGACAAAGTAAAATGCTCTTCTATTATTAGGTCACAATCCGGAATATATTTCAATGTACAACATTGTCATCAGCCTGAAAATATACATACATGCTACATGAAGAGGTCTCCTCCTAGTCGTGGAGTGGCCTGCATCACACACATCTCTTCTACGGCGTAACATGTTCCTCCATTCCACTCGCTTTAGAGCCAACTGTTTTACTGCATCTCTGCTGATGTTATCGACACCTGTAAATTCAGCCGCATCCTCGAGTACACATGCCATCCAGCCTTTGCAGGGTCGTCCTCTCGGTCTCTTTCCATAGTTTGGTTTCCAATCCAGTAAGAAATTGGGAAACCGCGTCTCTGGCATTCTGACAACATGTCCGTACCACCTTAGTCTAGCCGCACCGATGAAAGTTTCGATAGACTTAATTCCAGCACGCCTGAGAACTTCTTCATTGGAGACATGGAAGAACCACTTTATCTTCAAGATTCTTCTCAGGGAGGTTTGATGGAAGACCTCAAACCGTTTCATCTGCTTCTTTGTTGTGTTCCAGACTTCAGCTCCATATAACAGAATGGTAATAACAGCAGCCTTGTAGATACTGATCTTGGTGGGCGTTCTTATAGTTCGACTGTTCCATATCTTCCAAAGCTGATGGAACGCAACATTAGCACGCTGAATCCTGATGTCAAGATCTCGGTCAATGGTACCATCCCAATTGATGTCGGCACCAAGATAAACAAAGTTGCTGACCTGTTCAACAGGTTCTCCCTCCACTGTTAGCTTTATACTGTCTCATTCGGTGTAAGGTCGCTGGGACGCACACTTGCTGATCACCATGCATTGTGTCTTTTTAGCGTTGATGCTGGGTTAAACCAAGAAACTTATTGTTTCATTGGTTTAACCCAGCATAAGAGGTGTAATAAGCTATAAGATCAGTGGACTCTTGCAGCCCTTCTTCAGTATTGTCCATCACTGCCAGATCATCAGCATAGTCACTACCCATGATAACTTTTTCATCTGCACCCTTTAGTTCCTTTTGCAGTACAGCACCATGACTGATTGCCTTGTGAACCTCGGCCAAAAAGATTCCAAAGTTCAGACAAAATTAAATACAAGAGGGCCCTGGATATCACCCTGTCCAGTGCCTGAATTAACAGAGAACCAATCAGACATTTCACCATTAAGTACATTAAGTACATAGTACTACATAGTACACACTATTACATAGTACTACATAGTACACACTATTACTAACTGCATAGTACTACATAGTACCTACACAGTACATAGTACACACTATTACTAACTACAGTAACTAGTAAACCTTCTTCCCCAGCTCTGAGTGATAAATGTGCAGCACCACAGTTTGGAGCACCTACATGTGACAATCCAGAAATACCCAGTCAAGTCAGGGAGGCTTTCACTAACAAGTCAGTTCACGGACATCCATTCTGGCCAAATGTCTCAATTATAAGTTATGATTTCATTGGTTTAATAATTATAGTTAACGTTTATGCTTAAAGTGTGGTTCAGAAAAGTCATTGTGGCACTCGGGTCCTTGGTATTGTCGTCGGTATATTGTCCATTACCTACGTTCTGCTTTCATAGTTTAAACAATAGTGAGTTCTAAATATACAGCTTTAAACCGACTAAGTATGAATGAATGAAATACCTGACAATCTAACGTCCTCATGATCATGTGATCGCCGCATGAGGTTCTGTAAATGCGCAGGGCACCTTCAAGCTTATATTATTCACCTTACTGAGGCAGTCAACCAACGCGCGGCTTTATTTTTATGATATGATATGTTTTGATTGTTATTAATAAATACCAAAATTTAAATTTGTTTTCCTAAAGTTCTGCTACTTCAGTATGGCAGTAGCATCCTGTGTTGAAAAGATTCCAATAACTACCTATCTGGAACGAGCGATACAAGACACGTGTAGCTGCGATCACAGGAGTGATCACAATTACTGCTTCTAATTCTGTAATGTCCTCTTCTCGTATCTGGAAGATTGCAGACAGGATGATGTTGATGTTAGCTTCGCTGATGTTGAGGATCTATGCAGTAAGTCACTTGCCAAGCCACCAAATAAGCCTTAAGAGGGCCCACCACTATAAGTTATGAACACGTTAGATTACACATATTATATATATGTGCTAGTGATTTAGATGATGTAATTAAATTTCAAATGTATTTACTTTTCAGGAATTAACCCTGACAGCACTCATGATTCCGTTGAAGAATTCCTGAAAGATTCTAATATATTTCTCAGGAAGTCCATAGTGTCTCATGCTTGACCAAATAAACTCTCTTCTGATGGAATCAAACGCTGCCTTAAAATCAATTAAATTAACATAAAGTGGAATGCTAAACTCAATGCAGTTGTGAATAATGGTGCGGATGGAATAAATCTGATCAATACATGAGCGGCCCAGCACCTTGGACTGGATGACGTATCCTTCAATCTCATTCCTCAGAAGACGAGCTTTGAGGTCTCTTAAGTTTGTTTATGTAAATTTTATAGATAATTTATTGTAGCTTTTATAATGTGTAAAATTTTACGGACGAAATGATCCCAGGGGGGACTCCCAACCCACCGCCTCGGCGGGTAGTTGATACACCCTTCACAAGCAAGAGCCACTTTGGTCTACTTGCTGTGAGGTGTATCAGCTACATAGGTTGGGGGTCCCCCCTTTTTTTTTAATTTTTTTTTTAATACATGAGCGGTTCCGTCTGAACCCACACTGATTTTCCCTAAGAAGACACTCCAATTCAACGCCTGAAAATATGCATAAATAAAATTTAATAACTAAAGGCAAAAATTGTCAAAAATTATACAAAATTTAATATATCAGTGCAAAAGTTATCAACTTTAATCCAGGGTTGTGAAATACGTGTTTTACGGTTTTTTGAATTGGAGCGGTTTTACGTTTTTTAAACAGGTTTTTGCGTATTTATTTTTAAAACGTTGTGATTTATACGGAAATTTACAATCTTTTGACGGTCACCGACTACCAGTAAACGAATCAGCGAAGTAGGAACACTGAGGACTGGGCCACAATCACATAATTATAAGCAGATTGCAGTCTTCAGTTACACTGTACACTTACATTCCTATTAAAACTGCAAAGTATCGAAACGATCCATCACATATCCTCATTACTCACTTTATTATTGTAGTTAAGCGAACATTCCAGACTTTGTTATATTATACCGTCAGATTATATGTGTAGCAGCTAAGCAAACGTGCGAGATTGTAGCGCGATGCGTTCGGTTTCACTAATTCACTCGCCATGGATTATAGGAAACGCGCGCTATTTTGTTTTCGCATTGGATATAAAGATGACCAATGATGTTACAGTGTTTAAGTCACGTGCGCGTGATATAGCGCGCTGGCGTGTGATTGAGATCAGATACAAACTTTTGTTCCTTCCTCTTTTTCACTGCCTTCTGATAAACCTATTGCCTGCAGTTTGTTGAATATCTCTGTCATTTGCCTTAAAGTGATACCCTTATCATAAGCTTTTTTTATGGTTTCAATGTCATGAGAGCTACATGCATCCAAGAAAAATGTATGATTTTAGTACTTTTCTATGTGGCACTATTTACTGTTTCGTATTTTGCATTGTCGACCAGGACTAAAACCAATGTAACACCGAGTTGTAAACCTGACTAGAAAACATAATTAAAGAAAGTACCGCAACCTCGCACGTTAATGTTTAATTTTGAACCTTAAAACTATTGAAAAGTTTAGAATCATTGCAGCCATTTCTACTGTCATTATGCGACCAACTCTTTAGTCCCACTAGTCGACTAGTATTATTCAATTATAAATATCTCCGGGATTTCGACGCGGGATCATATTATCACTCAGCCCGGCCCGCTGTTAGATAAACATCTCAAGGTGATATCATCCCGCCCCGGAAATTTGTATAAACCCGGCCCGCTTTTTAGTCGTAACTGATGTTTATCATTCAATTCTCCGACTTACAATAATCAATGATACTGCTGATTAGAACTCGATAATAGTAGAACAGTTAGACGCGCGATCACGTGGGCGCGTCACGTGCGTACCACGTGCCACCAATAGCATACGCCGAGTCTATACCGCGTGACACGAAAGCGCACCACGTGATATGAAACATCGTAACCGTCCACTTCTTTTACACGCAAATTCCTGGGAACGTCGCCAAAGCAGCTAATTCTTGGAATTTCTCCAACGCGTGGCGTGAGAAGTTGGCGACTAGCCAGCTACCCTTGTCCGTGCCCTAAAAATAGTATTGTTTTGCTTGCTCTCCTTCCAGCTCGTTCAAGCTATTGCTCCACTATGACAGATCGGTTTGACATTCAGATTGATGAACTGCTTTCCAATCGTGTTTCTAAAGTATAAATCCCTTGTCGAAATCGCCGGAGATAATTATAATCCATAAACACTTCACGCTCAGGGCTAAATAAATGTAATCCCTCAGCTGGCGCTTCGGGATTACATATTAACACAAAACTCGTGCGCTGCGCGCACTCGTATGTGTTTATCAGATCATCCCGCTAGCGCGGGATGATCTGTTATATAAACCCTTTGCGTGGCGGGTTTATGTTATTTTAATAGTGTGGTGTGCCCTAATTCATGAGGAAGTAGCCAGCTGATATTATGAAGTCGTGTTACGGTTATACTTGAGTGTAATTAATTGGAAGATGTTAAACATTTTGTGACTTTATCCACCTCTTCCACTCGATCGGAGTTAAAAGATGTAGGACCTCCCTCCCTCCCTCCCTCCCTCCCTCCCTCCCTCCCTCCCTCCCTCCCTCCCTCCCTCCCTCCCTCCCTCCCTCCCTCCCTCCCTCCCCCCCTCCCTCCCTCCCTCCTTCCCTCCCTCCCTCCCTCCCTCCCTCCCTCCCTCCCTCCCTCCCTCCCTCCTCCCTCCCTCCCTCCCTCCCTCCCTCCCTCCCTCCCTCCCTCCCTCCCTCCCTCCCTCCCTCCCTCCCTCCCTCCCTCCCTCCCTCCCTCCCTCCCTCCCTCCCTCCCTCCCTCCCTCCCTCCCTCCCTCCCTCCCTCCCTCCCTCCCTCCCTCCCTCCCTCCCTCCCTCCTTCCCTCCCTCCCTCCTTCCCTCCATCCCTCTGGTTCCATGATCGGGAAGCAACCTTACTTGAATGGTATTTGGAGATATATCTCTAGGATAATCTTGGTTTAAGCTTTTTGATGTGTAATACATAGATTCGGGTGTAGGAACCAAGGCTCCTATTTGTTCTTTTAGAGCTCCACATTTGGAAATTATGAATTTGAGTGTACTCAGTGTTATAGTTGTTTGGCGTCAGCTAGACTGGCTTAAGTGGTCCGCACCCGACTAACAGCCAGTTAGTCGGGCAGCGTGACTGCTATTCGATAGCTTATTGGCCAGATTGCGTGTCACGTGGTACCCTACAGAACAGACGTGTGTTCAAGTTAATTTGCAGTAGAAATTCAACTGGGATGTTCGGTTTATTCTTCTTTGTTACTCCCTGTTGGCATTCTTGATCAGCGCTAATCTCGAGGGTACCAATTACCACCATTATATATTACTGCTTTCCACTATTTGGCTTTGACTGAGAGGATTCAGAATGACATCAAGACCTAAAAACCTTAGGTTCTTAACTCGACTCAGGATTGTTGATTTTCTGGTCAATTTCCTGGCTTTTCAACTGGTTGCTGGGGTAATTTCATTGGATCCTCCTGTCCGGGACTCCGGACAGTAATAATGGCAAGTTTGTTACTATGTATTACTGATATGGACACGTTCATTGAAGTTTGAGGAAATTGGTAAATTTCTATAACAGCGTTTTTGACGATAGTGGTTTAATTTTAACATATATTAATCTAGCGTGTTCATAAGTTCTGAACATTAGCCACGTGACCCATACTCCCATATGCACTGCTCAAAAATAAAATGTATTGCTTTTAGGCACTATTATGTAAAGAATGTCACATTTTTGTGACATTGTTTACCATAGCTGCCCAATTAGCATTTTTTGGTCTAAAATATAGTAGATTAGGTCAATCTAACAATTATGATACAATGTAGGCCTAAAGGGCAGTGATCGAACGGCTTTAAGGCAACATTTCGTAAACTTTGTCACACTCAGAATACGAGACCTCTTTTCTACTGTGAGGTGTCCTCAAAACCCTTTCAACTCATTATTTGATAGTTCTTCTGCCAATCATAGCCATAAAATATGTTGTTTTGAAAAGTTAACAAATACATGCACTTGGCTATTGGGAAATGATGTAAATTCTGTCACATTATATGGAATTTGAAATTCTGGGTGAATTTCCGAAATCACTGATTTTGGTTTGGAAGGCGGGAAAACTATATATATGAGGACGATACACGGATACAGTTGATTGAAGTATAGGGCAGTTGATGTAAACATCGTCACAAAATGATACGAAATCGTAAATGGACACGTTTATGTTGAAGTTTAAGGATATTAATAAACCAAAAAATATAGCGTGTTCAGAAGTTCTGGACATTAGCCACGTGACGAAATTCACTATTTCTGCCCCAAAAGTATAATTTCAATGTGATGAAAAATGGGCATGGGTTTCTATATTTCCTTCATCTCTAAATTATTCATTTCAAACTATAATTAGGACTGTTGATGTGAAAGAAAATGTATCTAAATTTTACAATGACGTATGTGACGAAATTTACATTTCTTGACCCTATTTTGAAGAACCATACCCCGATTAGAATTCAATATTCTTCCAGGAATTATTGGTAGGTTATTTTTCAGCAAATCAGAACTCGAGTTGAACAATGCTGAGTTTAATATCACTAATTTACCGAAATGTGACGAAATTTACTTTTCCTGCCCCAACAGTATAATTTCAATGTGATGAAAAATGGGCATGGGTTTCTATATTTCCTGTATAATAAGGGCAGTTGATATGAAAGAAAATCTATCTAACTAATGCAATGGCTGATGTGACGAAATTTACATTTCTTGCCCCTATTTTGAAGAATCATACCTCAATTAGTATATAATGTCACTTTATCACCATCAATATGTCGATAAATTAGTTATTTTGTCAACACGGAGCAAATAAAGTTGTAATATTTTTTTTGTGACGAAATTTACAAATTTTTACCCTGTTCAGGTGTTGAAATTTATCCAATGTTAACATATCACTGCTATATAATAATTTATATGACCGGCGTATGGTTGAAATATTGTTAATTGATTCATAGTACGTAATATAGGGTGTTTAAGTTGGTATACTAATATTTACTCAATTTCACACATGTTGAGATATCATACAAATTTATGTGACTAAATTTACCTATTTCTGCCTTCTGTATTTGTATTTGCCTATAACAATGAAATATGTGAACAATTCCAAACACATTCAGCTCACAAAATAATGGTAGACTATTCGGCATTTCTTGTCAGGATGTCATAAACATCCCTCATATAAATTTCTTAAATGTGTGACGGAGTTTACATGGTGCTACCATTTAAGGAAAAAAGTCGCTAAATATGTAGATAATAGTCATATACAGCTATTCTATGAATTGGAAATTCGAAAATTTGGTCAAACACGGCAACAAGGGGTCCATTTAAGGAAAAAAGTCGCTAAATTTTTTCATACTTTCAACACTACTATATAACAAATAATTTGAGCAATGGTTATGTTAACAATGAACTAGAGACCTTGTTTGGACGATGGGGGGCTCAAGGAGGATGGATCACTGCTCCTAGAAAATGAGTTGAGTTGTCAGTTCGGTTCGTCATGTGTTCACATACCACTAGTCACTACACCTAATAAAAAACCATTGCTAGTCCAAAAAATTATATAGTAGTGTTGAAGTATTCCAAGATAGGCATTCTCTGAATACCTGTCTCAACAAATTTTTTGCCCTGAATTTATTTATTTTTACTCTGAAAATTCTGCTCAAACAATTTTACCTACACACTTAACAATTTCAAACCAAATCACCCCATCCAAACCCAGTTTGTCCTGTTGTTGTTAGTGTGTCTGACCTTTGAATGATTTACATATTTTTGAATACTTCAATCACTCTTTTGAAAGTTCTTGAAAAAATTCTATTCAATCATATTCCCACTTAACCCACCTCATATCACTCACAATGAACCGGCTGATGCTCTTCTCCTTTCAGGTGCAGGGGTCTGTCCAAGCTGGCCCCCTGGACTCCGGACATATCTCTGATATCATATCATCATGGCTACTACCTCAAGTGCTAGTACCCAAAGGCGTTCCCCTAGACACACTCCTCCTCCTACCAACCCAGGATCCAGAGCTAGCATGTCACCATCCGGCAGAGGAGCTTCCTCCCAAAAGAAGAAACCTCTAGCAGACAACAAAGCCCTGCGCAGGAACAGCCCTAGTGCAATGGCCCAGAAAGCTGTGCTGGGTAAACGCCCATCAAAGTCACCCCAAGAACAACCAGAGACATCTGTTCTTAAACCTCCAGGTAATCTGGTTATTGAAAAGATCAGCCCAAACCTGATATCAGCTTTAGAATCATCGAACCTCAGAGAGAGCCCCAGCAGTCCAATGAGCCCTCTGTACAAGTCCTTTCCTCCATTCTCCCGTGCTGAAGAGTCTGCTGAAGAACTTGAAATCCAGGATAAACCTACAGTAAAACAACGGGCTTCAAAGAGTGATTGTCCTTGCCGATCAACATCAGATGGTAAGGAATGGAAGTTCAAGTGTACCAGATGTTTTCAGCACTGGCATGCTTCCTGTTGCAATCTCAAGGGTGCTAACAACATTCAGCACGATACACCTCTTGAAGCTTCTCTGAATATGATTCTCTCAGAATGGCTATGTCCATGGTGTTTCGATACATCATTCCCCAGACCAGGCTCCAGCATGTCAGCCAAGATGGACAACAACCTAAAGAGCTCTGTAGACTACAGCCAGAACATACAGGCTATATCAGATGCTATTTCTAATGCTGTTGGTAACAGTATGCCTACTGTGGAGATTGTATCCCTGGAGACAAGACTGAAGAAGCTGAGTCAAGAGATTCATGAATTTCAGCAGTCCAGAAGTCCATCTGAAGCACCACCTGCTACAGAAATCCCCCTCCCTAAATGCACAGAACCTCCAGTGTGTGATTACCTGGTCGATGTGCTAAGTGCTGAGATCCTCAAAGAAGTTACAGAGTTTCTCCTGGAGAGCCAAGCTAGTAATAAGTTCATCCCGAAGAATGGAAGACAGGTCCTCAAGTTTGGGGAAGACTACTCTTATACTGGTGATTCAGACCCACCCCTATCCCCCACAATCCCAGCACCCCTTGCCTCAGCCATAGACGCAGTTACATCAAAGTGCAGACTGACCCATAAGCCCAACTCCATCCTAATAAACTACTACCCTCCCTCAGTTGATACCACCACTAGTAGCAAGCTCCCTTTTCACTCTGACGATGAGTCTGAGATTATTGCTAACTCAGAAATTGCTACTATCAGCATAGGCGACGTCAGGAAGGTGTGCTTTAAGTGCATCTATGAGACCGGAAACGAAGCCTCAACTGAGTATGTTCATAGTGTGAGTCCAGAATCTAACTCAGTGTATGTGATGACACGATCGTCACAAGCCTGGTATCGTCACGGTATTGATGAAACAGGTCCTGCTGAAACTCAGTCTTCTGTGCAGACAGGAAGGTTCTCCATCACACTGAGAACTGTGAGCAAACAGTTTAGCCGGAGCTGCATCATCATGGGCGACTCTAACACCAAGCCCATCAAGTTCGGTGTCGGTACTGGAACCCTTGGACAGTCCTTCCCAGGTGAACGTGTTAAAGCCAACAAGGTCAGTGCAATAGACCCTAAGCTCTGCATTGGTTATAGCAACGTCATCTTAGTTTGTGGGACCAACGATCTACGAGTTGAAAATGTGCAGTCACCTGGTGATATACACCAGCTGGTAGACATTCTCCACCTGAAAATCCAGCAGATCCAGAAACTGTGCCCTAAGGCGAAGTTGTTTGTCACAGCAGTTTTACCGTCTAGACTCCCTAAGATGAATAAAAACATTATGGCATTCAACAGCTTGGTTGATGAAATGTTGTACTCTAGCTTTAACCAGACTGTATGGCACCTTGGTGTTGGCCACTTTTTAGACGGTAAAGGGTTGCTTGCTATGAAACTCACGAGAAATGGTGATGAAATCCATCTCGGAGAGCTTGGTATTGCTAAATTTGTGAGATGTCTGAAACAGTGGGTGTATGTGAGGGAGAGACAGGAGAGAGTAAGACAAAGGAAGGCCACCCGACCAGTGGGAGTTTATCCCACTTAGTTTATCATGATTATGAAACTTATTAAAGATGTGTGCGACCCCTGTAGTAAATACATTAATATTGGCCAGCCACTCTTAGAATGTGAAAATTGCAGCAAAGTTGTTCATACTAAGTGCTTCAGATCCGCGAAATTTACAAGCAAAAACGGTCTATGGATGTGCAGTGATTGCTGTAGTACAATAGAAGATAGGTATTGCCCATTTCCAAGCAGCCAAAGGTATGATGATTCAGATAAATTCTATGATACAAACAACCAGGAAGATGTCACCATAGCTAAATTCTCTTCAATACTTGAAGACTGTAAGCGTTACACAAAACAAGAACTAGCAAACTCAATCAGCAAACTTTTTCCTGAGAAAAATAAAAATTCTGCTTATCTGCCCGCTCTGTTTTGCAATATAGATGGGTTTGCTAGTAATTTTGACAGCTTTTTAATAGAACATAAGACCCTCCCGTGTAATTTTGATGTCATTGGATTGGCTGAGACCAACATCGATCCAAGCCAACAAGGCTTATACCAAATCCCCTCCTATACAACATTTTGTCAAGTACCATTCCCTGATAAGAAAAAAGGAACAGGAGTATCCTTATATGTCTCTGATCGCCTGAATGCTGTAGTAATCGAAAATCTATCTCACTGTACAAAAGATATTGAGTGCTTATTTGTTGAAATTACTCTTAGCTCGGGTGATAAACTGACATATGGGGTTGCTTATCGTCCTCCAAATGGCTGTAGTGAGACCTTTTGTCAAACTCTTGAGGATATATCTAAGCAGTTGGCTGGTAAAAAGTTCCATATTCTTGGCGATTTTAACTCTAACCTCCTCAATGTACAAACCTCCAGCCAGCTATTTGAGGACACGTTACTTCGTAACAATATGTATCCTACTATATCACTTGCTACCCACTTCCGTCCTAACTGTAAAAACTCATGTATTGACAATATCCTCACATCAGAGATAGATCATGTACTTCTCTCCGGTGTATTGAATGATAGGATTGGTGACCATGCCTTTATATTCACCTTCACGTCAATTCCTACCGAAAACAGTACTGAAAAACTTAAACATGTTCGCTACTATGATTATTCAAGTTCCAAACTCACTAATTTTGTTAATGAACTCGAGGTGAAGGTGAATGACTTGACTCCCTCGGTAAACTTCAATGAGTTCTTGGACTGCTTCAATGAAACACTTGATAAACACTGTAAGCTTGATGTACCAAAAGTTACCAAAAGGACTCCCAAACTCAACCCGTGGATTACCGATGGAATCATTGTCTCAGTTGAAAGAAAACATGAACTCTGTAGAGACTGGTCAAGCACTGTAACAAATAGAAACCCTGAGGGTAATGTACTGCTCTATAAAGTCTTCAGTGACTACCGAAGAATGCTTAAAAGTATTATCAAGGTCGCCAAACGATCGTACTACTGCAATGAAATCCATAAAAATATAGAAAACAGCAAAAAAACGTGGCAGATAATCAATGAGCTCAGGGGCAAGAAAAAGAAGCAAACTAAGCCTCCCTTTATCATAAACAACGAACGAATCATGAATCGTAGAGTCATAGCCAATGGATTCAACTCTTACTTTGTTTCTATTGCCCCTAAGCTCAATGAAACACTTAGTAGCAGTGAGGCCTCTGGTTTACCAATTCTCCCTATAAAAACATTCTATGATTTCCTTGGAAAGACTAATGAAAAATCGATTATGTTAGAAGACTGTACACCTTATGAGATAACGGAAATAATAAAAGGATTTGAAAATGGAAAAGCAAGTGATATTCCTGTTAGTGTAATCAAAAGATCATCTCACGTAATTACACCGATCCTTAGTCGATACATCAACATCTTAATGTCTAATGGCACGTTCCCCGACGTTCTAAAGACTGGTAGAATAACTCCTGTATTTAAGAAGGGAAACCCTGAAGAGATAGAAAACTACCGCCCAATCTCTACTCTCTCTATATTTGGTAAAATCTTTGAAAAGATCATTTACTCAAGAATATATTCGTTTGCTAGCTCACAGGGTATAATATCTAAAACACAATTTGGCTTCAGGCAGTCACACTCTACTTCACATGCAGTTAATCACTCAGTAAACCTTATAACTGAATCTCTAAAACTTAAGCATCATGTCTTAGGCATATTCATAGACCTTAGCAAAGCTTTTGATACAATAGATCATGGTACATTACTTGTCAAATTACAGGGCTATGGGATACGTGGGGTGGCAAATGATCTTATAAAAAGTTACTTAACAAATAGATCACAATATACTGAAGTTGTTGGTGAGAAATCTGACGCCTTGAAAATACAGTTTGGAGTCCCTCAGGGTTCGATTCTTGGACCTCTCTTATTTCTCCTATATATTAATGATATCGCCAACAGCTCCAGTTTGGGATCATTTGTCACCTTCGCTGATGACACCAATATATTTGTGACTGGGAAATCTAAAAAGGAGGCATATATGCGTGGTAATTCTCTTTTAGCTAGTTTATATTCCTACATGCGAGCAAACAAACTCCATGTCAACTTGTCTAAATGCTGTTTCATTCACTTTAAACCAGCATCGTCCTCCCAGACTGACAATAATTCTGAATATACTCTAACCATTGATAACTTTCCAATAAAACAAGTTGCATCTGCTAAGTTTCTGGGAGTCGTCATCGATGAAAAGCTAACCTGGGAAGAACATATAAAATCACTTAGGCGTTCTCTCAGCCATGCAACATCAACTCTCTGCCGCCTACGCTGCTCCCTCCCAGATTTCTTACACCGCCAGTTGTATTACACTCTATTTGAATCACACCTCTCCTATTGTATCACGGTTTGGGGTGGGGCAGCCAAAACTCGTATAAGTTCTGTATTCAAAGCACAAAAATATTGTCTCAGGGTACTGTTTGGCGACAGGGAGGCATACCTAGATAAATTTAAGACCTGTGCTCGTGCTCGACCGTTTGGCAACCAAAATCTGAACAAAAAATTTTTCTTGAAAGAGCACACGAAACCTTTGTTCAAGGAACACGGAATACTTGCCGTCCAAAACCTGTACACTTACCATTGTTTCCTTGAGCTCTATAAAATCATGAAATTCCGTGCTCCGATTTCCCTCCATGAAAATTTCACCTGCTCAAGTAGGAAACCCACCCTTATACTAAGCCAAGCAGACCCCCCTGACAACTTCAATAGCAGAACGACTCGTATTTGGAACGTAATTGTGCCTAAGCTTGGTATACGTGACTACTGTCTAAGTGTGGCCTGCCTGAAGTCTAGGATGAAGCAATCACTGCTCGTCAACCAGCATAACCATGCTGATCTTGATTGGACAAACAAAGATTTCGAATGCTCTAATCTAAATTTTGACATTAAGTCTACCCTAGGGTCCACACATCCAAAATGATTATCTTGAAATTGAAAATTAGCTGGGTGTGCATTTTCCTTTGTCTTACTAACGTGTGTGAGCGCAGTGTAGTGAGAAAGTGTTTTTAACAGATTTATTATTAGACTTAGGATTATGATTTTTAATATATTACATTGATATAAGATTTATTTTTGATAGGTACTTAATAAAGTTGATGAATTTCCCTCCCTATTAAAATTTTAAACCCATTTAGTGAAAATTGATAAACGAAGATCTAGATATTGATACATATTATAACCAACATTGCTTATATTCTGCCTTGTAAACAAAGAGCAAATCTTCTTAATGCCTTCTTCCTGTCCTAAAACTAAAACTTCATCCTATTAAAGTAAAGGCCAGTTGTTACCACAAGCTATTATACCGTCCCTCTCAAAAACATGCCTCAGCCTCCATCAAAAACAATTTTAGTTTTCAGTCCTTCTAGTTTCCAAAAATCTACCGAGCTAGTGTTCTGGTGTGCACAAAAGCCCCTAAGCCCGTGCATTCCTTGCCCCGCTAGCTGCCAGTCCTTGACAAACTTCCAATAGCAAAGATCAACTAGTCATTTACAAATTGAGCACTATACAATTTTAATTGTTTTAAATATTTGACTTTGTAAAATGAGCTAAAACATTGATTTATTAGTTTCATTGATTTATTAGTTTCATTGATATAAACTCCGTCACGTTTTTATAGTGTGACAAAGTTTACAACTCACTGCCGGCCGCATTTAGGTGATATCTTATCGTCTGATAAAGATATCGTTATGCGACAAAGTTTATCTAGAGGATGAAACGATTATCTTAGGGTTAGAGGGTTTATATAGTTTCATAGTGTGACACATTTTACATCATCGTGCCATTCAGTAGGGTCACTAATATTTACCAATATCCTCAAACTTCAATGAACGTGTCCATATAAGAGTCAATTTTGATTTTAGCCTATACCGTGATCTTCATTACATCTGCTATAGTGATACCCAGTGTTATGATAGGTAGTATATAAGCTTACTGATTGTTCTACTATAGTAACTAGTAACTAGTAACTAATAACTAGTAACAGTAGTAACTAATAACTAGTAACCAATGACTTTTTAGTTTAATTGGAATCAGTTACTGGTTAATTTTTCTACGAATCTATTCTTGGACTAAAGTTAAACTATTAATTAAGTGATTCAGCGGCACATGAAGAAGGTTCGAGAAGAGCGTACTAAGAAGTTCCTGGAACGTTGCCAGAAGTCCCCCCATGCCATGGTACTGAGTTTTCCCACCCGGAGGCTTCCCTGTAATAATGTCATGTTGCAGGTTTGTTACAATCGATCGTAACTTATATAATAATATTCTATTAACTTATGTTAAACTTAATATCATAACTTAAGGGAGGGGGTGGGGGGTCCAACTACATTTTTGTACATGGCCACCAGATTTTTACCAAATGTACATGTACAAAAATGTACAAAAATGTACAAAATATGTTTTTTCCTGTTTGGAAATTCCCTGGATAGATTTACTTGCTGTGGCTAATTTACAATGACAGGTACATCACATGGGAATGTATTTGATTACTTTAACACCTCAAAAAATTGTAGCGCGATCTGCGTTACTGTGCCGCGCCGCGCACTCAATGAGGCTTCTCACAGATCGGCGAGATGCGCTACTGTGCCGCGCCGAGCTGAGATGAATTGACATCGTCAATTAAGTGCGAGACTGAGAAGCGCACTTATACATCCAGCAATAACTCGAGTTATACAAGAAGTGACTGTACGGCTGGTTGTAGCGCGATGCACTACTGGGTCGCGCGCGCGCATCCAATAATGCTTCTCGCAACCAGATCGGCGAGATGCGAAAGATTGACATCGTGAATCAATACGGCTGGGTGTAATTTATGATCATAAGTTACACCCAGCCGTACAGTCACTTCTTGTATAAGTCACAATGACTATGTCGGCTCTCTCTCTCTCTCTACTCTCTGCTCCGTACTTTTACCTTCGATACTGTAATCCTGCCGCTCTCTAGCTGTGTTTATTTGGTGCCGTGATATGATTCTGATACGCATTCAATCGTTTCAATTTTGAAGCAGTCCCAGCTTGAAATTTGCATTTGATATGCTACAGCGCTATAATTACATGCTACAGCGCTACTACATGTAGCACTGTCACACATATCACACAGAACAATATAAAATTTTTAATAACTTAAATGATAAATTAGCGCATATTGAAACGTTTCATATTTGATATTTCCAGAAAGTATAATTACCAAAACTCTATTTAACATCTAATGTTGCTCTTTTAGTAGTAGTATAGGTGGCATGGTCATAATCTCATTTCTTGCTTACTGCATTGACCATTGTTATATATTAATGGTCTGGCCCGGCGCGCGCTACTTCGTAGCACTTTCCATTTCGAGAAGAAAGCGGCGCGCGCTACTTCGAAGAAATTTAGACGAATAACATCCGTCAAGCTTACTGATAGAAAGATGAAACTGCAGCTGATTCCCATGACCCCTCTTAGTTATTCGTGTTACATGTACAGCAACTTAGAAAGCAAGAGTATTCAACATTCAACACAACTGGCAAGTTTGATTGGTCATACCGCTACATTTTGAATTTTCACGTGAGTCGGCTTGATTAGATTATGCGAACGTTTTTTCTCGTTTTTTTGAACGTTTTTTGAAAAAAATAGAAAAAAGCACGTCTTTACTTTTTTAACTTTTTTTGAGTTGACCATTTACGTTTTTCACAACCCTGCTTTAATCAATAATCAACTACAACAAAAGAAATACTAGAAACAAAACTATAAGTATATACAAAGTGTGTTAGGTGTATTATATATACTGTATAATACAACTGGTGTGCAAGCAGGAAAATACTAGACTCCTAAAATACACGGATAAATACAAGTAACTGAAATACACGGAAATGTGTGTAATATCTTAATAATAGAGGTCAGCAATACAACAGACGAACGGAAAACGTGTAACTGGTGCAAGAACTCAATTACATATAAGCACATTTTTCAACGAACTTTGTTCTTGACGATTGTTCAGTTGTGGCTTATTTCTAGAGATCTGTATCGCCTCTGAGATTGCACGTCTTTGCGTTTTAGGTTGTCTATCTAAGATTGTAAACGTAAGTTTAGCCATCTTGCCCGGATGTTCTTTGGCGTTATGTTGACCTAAAGCGTTATCCTTGTACGAGCACGGATTGTTAACAGCTCTCACGTATTCACTGAGTCAGTCATGTGCAGTTCTGCAAGCTTCGCCATTGTATGCAGGGACAAAAGAAAATCGCGATTATTTTGCCCAAAAATCGCGATACCGCGATTTTTAACAGACTATACATAAAATTTGTCGCAAATAATGGGAAAAATCGCGATTCCGCACATGCCTCAATTTCCTTTTGTCCCTGATTGTATGTGATGTTCCTAGTTTCGCAATGGTCCAGTTTACAGGTTACTTCGTACACTATGTCCTTCGTTGCGCACGTGCTGTTATCTGTGAACAGAGGGCATATTTGGCACATACTGGGGTTGTTAAGTACGCATTTCTGAGTATCGTGATTTAACAAACATTGTCCTCAGCTTGTTAGTGTTACCAGGCAAGAAAATAGGCCGAATGGGTAGTTTAGAGCGTTTTATGTAGTTCCTGATTTTGTTGGAGACTTTCTCAGAAACGTAGCCAATTCGTAGGGGTGTTAGTTTTTGCTGGTTTTTAGTATTCTTTGATAATAAGATAAACACGATATTATAAAACTGGAATAATTAAATTTAGATAATACACAATACTATCTACTTGAACAATGATAATGAGAGAATACACAATATTGTACTACGTGAAACTTTCCTAGTCAATTGCTTTACAGAATAACACACTCCACTACGCACTCTCACTGCAATGACTAACAAAGGTAAATAGTAATTCAATATATAATAACTCAATCACTTCAATTATATAAAGTATCCAAATCACTCTGCTATTATTAGCAGTTAGATGTACACTGCGAGGGTTGCTGTAGCCATTGTCAATTGTTCCGTAGCAGGTTGTCTACTATCTCACACGAATATTCTGTGTTACCCGGCCCAATAGACACTTCTTCGGCAGTGCGGTTGAAGTTCTTAATGACCTCTGTTTTCGTGTTTTCCGGGTGATGAGATAGCTGATGCAGAGTGATATTCTTCTTCTGCAGAATTCTGCGGTTTCCTGTAATACCGAGAAAGAAGATTCCCATCAGAGTCCATACTAATATCTGTGTCCAGAAAGGAACATACTGCCCCTCTTCTGGATAATCTAACTCCCACTGCAGATATTCGTCCGGGTCTTGTGCGGCGATCAGATCTACAATCATCTACAATCAGAAGTTCAGAAGAAGATCTACAATCAGAAGTTATCTCTGCCAATTGATATAATTTTTAGGCTGGGACATACTCGTCACGTCCTTCAGAGCCAGTTTCATTTGTGTAACCGGAACCCCCA